GGGCTTTTTATCGTATATAATTTTACACCTATTTGGGCTAGGACACTTACTTTCCCCGACTGTAAGCGGGACGCGTAACAGGAGGACCCACCGACTATTACTCCGGTTATATAAGAATACTACCGATTAAGGAAAATTAACATATGTCTATAGTCTTTTACGTACTAGTATTAATAATCTAAAAAAACATATCTCCTATAATTTTTCGGTAACAAACCTAAAATTAGTCGAGAAGAGGGTAATGTCGACTATAGTATTCTTATTATACTCTGTCACTTCTATGCCACTGCGTCAATATTCTACTAGGCAAAAAATTTCTCGTCTAAATGACAATTCTGTCGGTTGCTGATTTGAAAATCTGCCTGGTAAAAAGAGCCTTGTTGTTCGTCTCCGCATCACCCGCTCAAACATGGAAAAAACCTGATCCCATGGGTTAAACATCCTCATACACTATCACCTGGCCTTTGACTGAGTACTCGACGCGGGGTTTCTTACGTTCAGCTCGTTCATCTTGTATCCGCTGTTGGTTTTCCACATCCCACAACTTGGATTGCTGCTTGCGACTTCGTGGTTGCCTTCTGAAGCTTTTTGCCTTCCTTTCTCTTGCGGCTCTAACTTGGGCTGGAAACTGAAAGATTGTGTCAATGCTTGTATTGATACTAGCATATCCTGATTCACTGTTCAAGCAAGGCATATTCCCACAGCTTCTCCGGTGTTTTATGGACATCACTGAGAGCAAAAGATATCCGTTTCGACGCAATTCTCCGTTCATCAAGAATGCCAACGATCAAGGTTTTTAGGTCAAACTTAAGATATTGCAAAACATGCAGCTCGTGTTTAAAGTCATGGCCAACCAGGACGATGTTCCGTGATCGGGAGATTAGAGAATCTAGGGTAGGAAGTATGTCTGCTGGCGTATTGTCGTGTTTTCGCAGAAAGAAATCTTTTTGATACGGTAATACAGTATTGACTAGATCTAGCAGCAAAATTATACGCTTTCGGCTTTCCAATTTGAGTCGAGGTAGTACTCCTCATGTCCAACGTGGCAATATCAACTTGACTGCCAAGATGCTGTGTAGAGCCCTGCTTGATGTTGCGCAGCAAATTCTCAAAGTCAATTGCAACAAATACTCTTTCGTACCACTCTCGGAGGCTTTGGCACAATAGCAGTAAGTTCGAGGAAGTCCTAAAGTTGTAGGAGGCCCTTTTTTGAGGTAGAATGTTGTAAAACCATTTACCACCAAAAGAACCTTTTCAACAACGTCGAAAAGCACAATGAGTATAATCGTGACTGCTTTACTGGATCTCCCAGTAAAGGTAGGAGGCCTCTACCATCTACACTTTTTTCAGAGTGGCCAGGAGAACCATATATGTCAGCTGACCCAACGGTCACATGTCTTCTATTACATTCAGGTAACTTAGGTACACTATATATTATAACTGCCAGCTTTAGGATGTCCTGACGCGAATACCACCATATGATACCCCAAACCACTAGCGAATACTTGATTAATGTTTAGACATACTCCGTTTGCTTTTCGCATCTCTAAGTAGGCGGAGTTCCTCGTTAAGCGAGGTGAAAAGGGACACGGCTCGCTTAGTAGATCGGGAAATTTCCAGGTTGGTTGACTTGGCCGAGTACTGCATTTTACAAAAAAAGAGAGCAAAAGACCTAAAAAAAATTATTTGCAGCAGCTTTTACTCATCTTCTTTTCGAGTTCCATCTTTCCTTATTTCTCTCCATATTCTACATGGGTTTCGAGAGTTTTCTCGACCGGTTCCTGACGCTTACACGACCGTTTCAATAAATCCTCACATAAAGCCCAGCCTTCCAATCGTACATCCCAAGCTCCCATCCAATCACTAATTCCCCGATTCCGCCCTTTGGACTCGCGGTGCAGCCCTTCCAGAACACCCCGCAGTCAGCCAGACCCCCGAATTTCGTTACTTTAAGCGAGTGCGGTACGACCCCATCGCTCTTTCCAGGCATGGCGTATTACGGCCGGAAAACACCAACTTCGGTTGTGATTTCTGGTGAGGAGCTTTCGTGACGGAGGAACCTTTGGAGGGTTTGACATGATGAGTTTTGTCGTGATGAATTAGCTCGAGGGGTTGTAGGTGTATAATATGAATGGTTTCGCTGAGGGGTTTGAGTATTTGATTGTTTCGAGTACGTGGCGATAATTTGACAGCTGCAAAGGTGTTTTTGAAATGGAGAAATCGGCAGAGATTCGAACTTCGAGCGATGAGCCTGCGAGAGAAGTTATCGCGTCAACCTCAACAAGTGAAACTCCCTACGCGGGACCAGCACTTCCCAGATGGAGATTTACATGTCTCTGTATTGGGTGCGTATTTCAACTCCTCTCATCAACTCATACTCATGCCAAATGCAGTCTCTCAATAAGCCTCTTCATGTCCCTCCTCGACACCACAATCATCGCCACAGCTCTCTTCACCATCGGCAAAGACCTCCGCGCAACTTCCTCCGTAAACTGGGTAGCTCTCTCCTACACACTCAGCTACCTAGGATGCGCTGTAATCTTTGCACGTATTTCAGATATCATAGGTCGACGCAATGCCTACATGTCTGCGGTCCTCATCTTCCTCGCATTCTCGCTTGGCTGTGGGTTTGCGAAGACGATTGATCAACTGATTGCGTTAAGAGTACTTCAGGGCGTTGGGGGCTCAGGATTGTATTCTTTGACTTTTGTGATGTTGCCTGAGATCACGCCGTTTAATTTGACGCATATCATCAGTAGTATTGCTGGTATGGTGGTTGCGATGGCGGGTATCTTGGGACCGCTTGTAGGAGGACTGATTACGGAGTATGCGTCTTGGAGATGGATATTTTGGATCAAGTTGGAGCTCAGATCTGTTTGATGAATGTTGCTAACAATATTTATAGCGCACCACTTGGGGTAGTCTCAGTAGCTCTGTTCCTTCTCGCCTGGCCTGGAACAGACACAACATACATGCGTCACGCCCAACGGCGTTCTTGGAAACAACTCGATATTCTCGGCGCCATCCTAATCATAGCCGCCTCCGTCCTCGTCGTCTTTGCCTTCCAAGAAGCTGGTCTGCACCCTTCGAACTGGAAATCCGCTCTCTTCATCGCGCCCCTCCTGCTCGGGCTACTCTGCTACGTCCTTCTCTACGGCTGGGAGGTGCTAGTATCCAAACGTTGGGAAGAGCGCTTTGCAACTATGTTCCCCTTACGACTGATCCACCGGCGCGTATATATGGGCTACGTCCTCGTCACTCTCATCGCTGGATTCCCGTATTTTATGATCATATACAGTTTACCAACACGCATCCAGGTCGTGAATGGGAAATCTCAACTCATCGCCGGACTTTCGCTGTTACCGATGGTCGGTACCGTCGCAATCGCAAGCACAGTAGCTGGAGTCATAAACACCAAACGCAATCTCATTTTCCCCATCCTACTTGCTTCTGCAATCTTCTCTACCATTGGCGCCGCCACACTATCTACCCTTGAAAACGTCGAGAATGTAGAAGCGAAGATATACGGTTTCCAAGTCTTTATCGGGCTGGGCTTCGGACTCATGGTCTCCACCACTTCCATAGGCGGGATGCTAGAATGTCAATTCCGGGATAACAGTACGTCAACCCTCCCCCCTTCATATCCCATCTAACATTCGCTAGCCGTCGCACAGGGCATAATAGCCCAAGTCCGTGTCCTCGGCGGCAGCATCGGTATCGCCGCCTCAACCGCCATCCTCGGCGTCAACGAACACAGATCACTCTCTAACATGGTTACATCCCAACAGCTTGCCACACTTCAGGACTCGCTGCCGCATATGACACCGGAACAAGTGCATGCGGTGAAACAGGCCTACTCGGATGCCTTTGCGGAAAGTATGAAAGTGTGTGCTGCGTTGGGTGGAATGGGGGTGCTAGCGAGTTTGGTTTGCTGGAGGAGGAATCCGGTGGAGTTTAATGTTAGGAGGAAGGAGCAGATTGAGGAGGATAGGGTGAGGAGGGAGGGGGAGAGTGGGGATAGGGGTTGTGAATGGGAATGGTGCGGTGAAGGAGGGGCAGGTCGTGAAGAAAGTTTAAATTTGTTTTGTGATACCCATTTTATTGTTTTTAAAAAGTAGTAACATCATTATTCATTCCTTAAGAAGACACTTATTGACGTCCCTCTTCGATCCCAATAACCTTCAGAAACACAAGTGAAATGGAATGAACATTGTAGCCGCGTATCGGAACAGGTTGAGACCACCATTAAGAGTTTATCTAGCGAGACATTTATGGTAGAGAACAGGCGAAAGTCGTGTCATTACTGTGACACACCTGGAATTCCTTCGTAGCTTACCTATAATATGTATCTGTAGCATTTTCAGTTTGCAAAGCTATTGGATAACTGTTTCACTCTGTCCTCTCTTGCAAATACATGCCTTGAAAGTGTATAATTTTATTTCTCCCACCCATCTACTTTACTTCCACTTCACCCGCATCTTCCCTTTAAACTCCCACCTACTATGAAAAGCCCTACTTCCTTCCCACACTCTGCGGATTATTAAACAAATTCGTTGGGTCAACCGCGCTCTTAATCTCCGCTAATTTCGCATAATGACCCAACCAGTAATTCTGCTGCGCCTGCGACGTCGTAAGCGATGGATCTGCATAATTCATATACATGCCGAATTGTGTGGTTGGCACTGTTAGTCCTCGTTAGCACAGATGCAACCCAATTCCAAAATTCGACCGATGATGAGATACAAAGGAGTGCTTACTAGCTTTTGTAACAGTCGCAACCCAATCATTCAAGAAACTGAATCCATTGCTAGGATAACTACCACTGGATACACGGTCGTAGAATTCGTATTTGATCAGCGCGTTGCGGTGCGCGTAAGAGGAGTAATCTGCGCCGAGCTTGGTGATGGCGGAGGAGATGCCGCCGTGGAGATCGACGATGAGGTACCAATCCTAAAGAAGATTAGTGGGTGGTATAAAAAGGGAAGGAGGAGTGAGAACATACGCGAGTGTTGCTGCGGGCAGTGTTGTACCAGTATGCCCAGAATGCAGTCATTGCGGCATCGTTGAGGCGTTCGGTCATGAGACTCTTGGAGAACTGTGGATGTTTAGAGGAGTTCCAGCGAGAGCGATGGCAGCGACTTACGAATGTCTCGTGGATATCGTAATCCAAAGAAGTTGCAAGGGGCATGTAGGCATATCCAGTAAGTGTGTCGATCCATCCTTTAGTCTGAACACTTCCGCTTGGATTCCCGATCTTGCTCAAGACAGGGGAGATGGCAGTCTGGAAAGCAGATTGGGTGCCATAGAAAACACCCATCAAGCTACACCACAGTCAGAAAATCGGTCCCCAGAAACTTCACCTTCAACCCAAGAAAACTAACCTCACACCACTTCTATTAATAAACACTCTCATATTCATCTCCGCCGGCATCGCAGTGCTATTAGCATAATCCTGCAACACAGAAAACACGTTCTTCATCTGCGCCTGATTGACATTAAGTCCATAGTTGAACACCACATTCTGGCTTGGTGCTGCGAACGTCTGGAACTTCATTGTGGTGACGATGCCGTAACTGGTGGCACCGGCACCTCGAAGCGCCCAGAAGATGTCTGGGTTCTGTGTTGCGGACGCGGTTGCGAGAGTGCCATTGGCGAGAACGAGCGACGCCTCTACGAGAGCATCGGATGCGAGTCCCTTTGTGCGAGATGAATAGCCGTATCCTCCACCTAGGACGTGGCCCCCAACACCGACACTGGCATCATGTTAGCATTGGACTCAGGATTGGGGTTGGAACATACCCAGGGCAAGTGCCGTGCGAGAAGGCGCGCTGGCCTTGCGAATATAGAGATGTTGCAACATTTCCAAGACGAGCACCGACACCGACTGAAGCAATTCCAGTCGCTGAATCCACCTTGACATCCCTGAATTGACGCAGATCAATCATGAGATGTCCATCTTCACCTCCCAGTCCGTGAGAGGCATACGAGTGGCCTCCAGATTTTGGGGATACGGTGATTCCAAGACTCGCTGCACAGGAGACCGCTGCCTGGACTTGTGCCACTGTCGTTGGATATGCTACTGCAACTGGCGTGAATGGAAGACGAAGATTGAATGGCTTAATAGTCTGCCCCCATTTCGAATCTGATTTCAAGATCTGTGGTACGCTGGCGGATGTCAAGCAGCTATTGATATCTGCGAATGGCGCCGCCGCAACAGCCAATGGACCTGCAAACAACAAAAGATTGCGAAGCATTTTGACGAAGAACTGACGAGAACGAGAAACGGATTTCGAGACAAGACTCCAACAGATACAAAACTATTTCAAACGTCCACTTGCTCTTCAGTTATGTAGTCGTGGGGCTCCTCCACACGAATATCGATTTAGACGAACGTTACAATGCCATGTGCAATTCATCTCTGCAACTGCTACTTGCAGAACGGTCTCGCCACAGCCACACCTCAATGCACGAAAGCTCTCTTACGACGACCCGTCTTACTGTACCGGGTACCTTTGTTGCCCGTACGAAGGCAAAATAGGGAACAAGGCAACAACTAATATCGTGACATATGAAAAAGCGCACGTATCAAACCATTTCATATCTTGCTCAGTACCTCATGACTGTGGAAGTCTTGAGGGTTGTGCCACCATTGGTCAAGGTCTTGACACTGAAGAAGATTATCCATGTCAGCCTGTCGATCCTACGAAGCTTATATGACGGACGACCTGGTCTCCCCTGAGCAAAGACTTTTGCCAAGTCGGCTGTAGGTCCGGTAGAATAATCTTTTCCAAAGTATCGTGGACAGACAAGCGAGAAATTCATTGACACGCCGCAGGTTGTGTGCAGAATTATGCTTGAGGAATTCGCCCCCATACTCCATCACGAACTTCATGCACGCTAATCGCCGCCTGGGTTCGGTCCAAAATCCGGTATTGGGTTTTCCACAACATCAAACAACTGTTTGGCCCGGAACTCCCGAGGCTATGAAGTAGAGCCGCCTGAAATCAACTTTTGCCTAAACCAGATCGAATAACAAAAACATTGGCCAATAAGACTAGCAATGTAGAACGTTATTTTGTGATGGTCATGTGCATGTCTTTGAAACAAAATGAGAGTAGCAAATGATGGAGAATTATTAAGGGATGCCTTCACTAAGGACGAGACAATTGGCGCGGCTCTATCATGATCCGCTAGACCATAAACTCGTAACAAGACCTTGGAAAATGCGGGGGACAGCTTGAGGCTGATTTTGAATTGATCATTCTGTCTCGTCGGCAGAATGTCACATCACTTGAGTGAATTCGGAGAAATGAATCCTCATGTATAATAAATAACAGACGCAGCCCACTGACGCAGTGTTGGAGATAGTTCCGCGCTCGCTGAAAACTTTGCATCAACAGAAACGCCCAAGATGCCATCAATAATCAGCCCTCTTTTGTTGGCGACTGTGTTGCTAGACCTGGTCGGCGCAATCAACATTTTTGTGTCGCATTATTCGGGAACAGTCCAAACTTTGACTTTGACACCAAAGACTGATGGATCGTACTCGCTCACAACAAACAGTTCCGTAAATGTTGGAGGACAACCAAGTTGGATGACGTTCGACCCAACAAGCCGGACGATATACAATTCCGATGAAACGGGAAGTGGAAGTGCAATCTTGACTTCGGTTTCGGCTGCCAAAGATGGAAAGTTATCGCTGAGCGGGAAAGCGACAGGGCTGTCCTTGGGTGGTGTACACAACACTCTTTATGGACCTGGTTATATTGCCGTGGCACATTAGTAAGTCTAAATTCTGTGATGCAAGTAAAGGATACTGACCAAGGTAGTCAAACATCCACCATCACCACCTATAAGCTACCACTGTCAAGTTCTACCAAGCCCATCGACAGTTTGAAGTATACAATGAGCAGACCTGGTCCTAACGCAGGTAGAGTAAGTTTGAACTTTTTCTTGAATATATATCCTTTTCTGGAGCTTGGTTGAGCTAGAAATTCTGTATCCAAGTTCAGTCATTGAATCTGAGGTTCAGTTGGGACGGGGGCCTTTTTCAAGACATGAAAGTGGAAATGTGGAGAAGTGGCTTTAGACAGTGGGACTTTTGTCCAAGCCGTCAGACGATAGGGCTCTGCTGGATCTTCTTCGAATGCCCCAAGGTCTCGGCGCAGGAGAACGTACGGCTTGAAGAGCAGTCTGCCTCTGTTGTTTGAAATCGTCAGGGCGTCGAAATTAATTTGAGGAAGGCCAACACCACACACATACTGGAAGAACCCCTTCTTTCAACCGCGACTTATCTCAAATCCTAGACCATCATCTGCTCTGATAGGGTAAAGACCTATCTGAAGAGACATCGCAAGCTGTACTTCATCTAAAAGTACTGTCATCCAGCCGAAACCATTATTCGACGTCGCCTCGCCTGTTCATTTCAAACAAGATTTGAGCCTCGGACAGCGTACCTCCAGACATCCCGATGGACAAGTAAGGAAAAAAGCGATAGCAATCTTGTTGGAAGACTTCAGTGACGGAGAAAAAGGACGGGCTGGCATGAACCCGTACCGCCTCTCATAGTGGGTCGTGCTACCGGATGGTTTCGCCAGCGCACTACGAACAGTCAATATAAGAGAAAGAACTTCCCATAGATTTCCTATCAAGGCGGAACGGTATCCCGGAGTTCTTCTCAAGAATCTCGTCGACCTCACTACAGAAAACCAACATCATTAAGAGGCTTCCCATCAACGCCGCCCAGACTTTAGTCGTCCAAGCAAGATCCGACTTCTCAACCTTCGCCTATTGTTGTTTTATTTTTTCGCCACGAGGAATTTCGACATGAAGAGCTATTCTCGTCGACGAGTTCTGCACTCAAAGAAATTAGCTTTGGGCCGCTGTACTGGAACTTTTCTACGTCGAGCTGCGTTTTCACCTTCCCATAGTCTTTGTTATGGATACTGGAGATGGGTCTTCCCTCAGCTCTGAAGGATTGAGTCGGCAAATGTCTCGTCCTGCAATTCCAAGCCGGTCAAGCACAAAGTTGTGTTTACAATTATGAACTTTCAACCCGAGCTCCACACAACACCTATATTGATTCCACAGCAAATTAGCATTTTCTTTCAACTCTTCAAGTTATAAACCTACCATAAACTAACATCCCTCCCAGCAAGACGCACCCCACCCACACCAAGTTCTCGCCGACCCAACCGGAAACTTCCTCCTTAGCCCCGATCTAGGCGCCGACCTAATCCGAATCTACAGCATCAACAAGTCCACTGGCAAACTCACAACCTGCACGCCCTTTTCGACCCCCGGTGGCACCGGTCCACGACACGGTGGATTCTGGGAGAAGAACCCAAACGTCTTATTCGTAGGAAACGAGCTCTCTAACACTGTTTCCGCGTACACCGTGACCTATCCGTCGGGAGGCTGTCTGACATTGAACCGATTCCAGACGTTGACGACGATAGCTAACAACAAGACATTGCCGAGCGGGTCGAAAGTAGCGGAGGTGCATACGAAAGATAACTTCTTGTATGTCGCCAACCGTAGAGATTTGAGCTTCAACCCGAATGATTCGATTGCCACCTTTTCGCTCGATAGCGCCGGGACGATGGCCTTTCAACAAATCACATCGAGTGGAGGAACTTACCCCAGGACCTTCGCCATTGCGAAAGCTGGGGATTTGGTCGTGATTGGGGACCAGACTACGGCCAACGTGGTGGTTGTTAAGAGAAACAACGAGACTGGACTATTGGGCCCTCAGGTGGCTAGTATGCGGATTGGAAGTGTTGGCCAAGCTGAGAATGATAACGGCTTGAGCGCTGTCTTGTGGGATGACTGAGAGGCTCTATGACTGCAAAATCCAGTGATCGACGGGAAACAGACTCAAAACATGATAAAAGCATTGTACATAGGTGTCGTGGAATGAGTTGAATCACTTTTTCTACATTCTCGAACAGATCTACCGTCTGGTCGTCCCTGTTCAATGGTTCATATATCACTTGACTGCTTTGGTAATTTCAGCAATCTGCTTGACAAAGCTAAATCGCAATGCAATTGGCAATTCTTGGCTGGCGCGCACTTGCTAGCTAGATTTTAATTTTCTAGACAAAAGAAAGGAAGTTCCATATCATAAATATCTTCCAAAGTTAGACAAATACGCCTAACTTTGTATGACACAAGCCTCACATCCTGGTTATTCGCGGAGCTGATTGAAGGTTCCGTCCCAACGGCCCTCCAAAGAATGTTTCGGGGTCTTCGTGATATTACTAGGTACTGGTAAACATAGTTTATCTAATGCCACTGCTTTCATGACCCATATCGCAATACTCATTGCCACGCAATTCATCCAGTGAATTATTCATGCTATAGCCATGCATCTACGGTCCTCGGAGACCATGCCATGATCCTTTTGCCTTGAAAATCGAAACTGCATAGATAGTTTGAAAACGCTGTGATTCAGCGAAAGGAATGTGTTTGAGGACGTGCCATTTTTAGAAGGCGTTGGAAGAAACCAAAGATTATGTCTTCATGTCGATCTCTATTTATACAATTGACGGCAAAGAGCAATAATGAAACCTGTAATGATGACAAGATCTTCATACAGGTCAACCTTAATCAAGAATGCTAAAGTGGGGGCGATTTGACAATCGGTACTTTGGCATCCGAAATTCATGGGATGATGACCACATGACAGCAGTCACAATAATGTTTGAAATGTTTGAAAAACATCAAGCGTTGTACAAGAGAAGATGAGGCTCTTGATGTTTCAACGCTTGGACAGGGTTTCAGCATGATGCCGCTTTCTAGAATGTGGAGTAGCGACATGCGGAGAAGACATCGAGACGGGAGGAGTCAATGCTTCAACATCAGAAATTTCGAGAAATTGAAGCGCAGAAGAGCAGCGACAAGTAAACATTCTGTAGCATCATGCTCTGTCAGAGAGACCACGAGGAGAGCATAAAACTAACAGACAATACAGGAAACAAATTTGAGCGCGCGAATCACCTTTCGACAACAACTTGGGGGGGTTGGCGCCCTGAACTTCAATACTTGGCGGAGAAACTTCCACGCTGTGTGACTTGCCTGGATAGATTAAGGTCGTGCTCGAGAATAAGAAATATCAAACATTACCTAGAGAGTTGTACTGTGATTGTCGTCTCCTTCTCTGTCAGTCTCGCAGTTCTCAAGGGGTAGTGGGCTAGAGCTGATGCTAGACACTCATCACTGCCCCTGTTCTCGTTCGTGGTTACCATGTTTTCGCAAGACGCCACCAATACTCTTGATGTAAAGGTTGCATGGAGTCGTTGATGTCTGGGCCTTGACTCTCGGGGAGAAGCTCGCGCATTCGGACTATTAACACGCCATAGTGTTACAGTGCTTTCCGCCTTGTATGCCAAAAGCAATATCAGTTGGATGCCACGCTGGAAAGAAATTCGAGAACCCAACGAATTCTGTCTGCTCGCTTACAAGCCACGAGATCCGTTATTGATAAATTATTCAGCTGCCGTGGCATAGTTTGAATGTAACACTGATAAACATCTTACTCTTGGCAGGTAGCAATCGACTTACTGACTGATACATGACAGTACGGCGACCATAAAGTGCAATGTGCTAGGCACGTGCTCTGTTTGAACTTGGCCTAGAACAGGTTAAGTCTGATGGATAGAGTTTGTGACTCTGGACTACGGCGGCTCCAGACGTAGATGAGAACAAATTCAAGATGGGCGAACGGATGGTGTGCAATTGCGGTGTCGCAAAACGTCTTAGTTCCTTGACCTTCAAAGTGATTATTGTGGGTAGCTAAGTACCTCTTGCTAGCAGTTCTTATCGCTCACGAATCGAAAAGACAGTTCAATCCCCACCAGCCCCTCATGCGGACCTGCATTCGTGGTCGATGCGAGTGTTGACTACCAGATTCGAGATTACGGGCCATTCTCTCGAGTGCTTCCTCCAGAATTATAGGGAGTCTTGAGATCATATAATGACGAAGGGAGTGTTCCAACACTCTTTATCCAGTATTGCCCGTTGCTTGGAGGAAGTGAAATGAGCGTTTTGGGAAAGAGATAATACGACTGCCGACCCAGAATACCTGTGATCGACACCAACATCGCCTTAAACCCATGCACTGTTTGCTGAGTTTCCGAGTCAGGGTTTGGCGGACTCAAGGGCATTAAATGGCCCCGGGCACCGGTTGTAATGTTGAGATCAGCCGATCCAATCTGTTCGAGTTGGTGGCTCACTCCCCACGAAGAGATCCCGTTGCCCTTCCTGGCAAACTCCCATCGCGCGTCTTCATTTCGGACAGCCTTCCTGAATGAAAATGGGATAAAAAACTGAGGCTTTTCGCAGGGTATGGCTTGTGCCACGAAAGTATGCACAGATTGTGATTCGTGTCCGATTCGTGTCCAAAAATTGGGCTTGCGATATGGGCAGGGAAGCGACAAATGTCGTTTGGGGAAGACGTTGAGCTACTGCCGAAAACGGCGTATTAAAGGCGTTGTTATACGTGGGTCAGGGACGTGACGATCTGGATTAAGCCGAACCACCACCAAACTTCTTGATCGAAACTGTAACCTTCGCCAGGGGTTTGCTCTTTCGAATATGATATCATTGTGTCGAGGAGAAATATGTCGGTAGCCTGTTGTCTTACAAATGCATACTCCCAGGGCAAGTGAAAGGGGTTGCAAAAGAGTCAGCAAAACAGGCGATTGACTGAAATATGTTGCTCCCTGGAATTCCCCAGGAGAATCCCGTAAACACTGAATCATACTGATGGCTCGAGTCTTTCGAATTGCTGCATGGTCGAACTTGTATCGAAGAGTACAACCATCTCTTAGCACACTTGCTGAAGGGGAATATAGATTGTCCATACTCGTGGTTCGAAGACAGTGGACCAGCCGACAGTGCTCTCGCATTCGCCCCTGGTGAAGATTACTCGTCTAGGCATCAATCCCAGTTGAACATCCAGATCTAATATATGCAGATAACAGCTGTCTGCCTTCTTTCAACCAAATTTGATCGAACCTGTTGTGTGACGTTTGTTCGCAAAGCAGACTCGTGTTCAGCGCACATATGCTCTGAATCTGAGGGTACAGCAGTTGGGCTTGCTCAAAAGAAATGCACGTATCATTACTGCACCCTTTATGGACGAGCGAGGCGTGACAACAGGTCGGGGAGACGGCCTCTACTTGCTACTGTTGGTGCCAGGTTGCTCTTCGTTCAAAAAGCCTGCATTATCACCATTTACTGCTTGTAGACTTGGTGAGCTGGGCATCCTAGATAGTGGCTAAATCCAAGGTCAACTTTGGGCAGTCAAGAGAGCTCCAGTAATTCAAAGGACTAGCAGATCAACTAGAGCCTTCGCATCGTGTGTTCTCTTCGCGATTTTGCGATTCATGTCGAATCTGGTAAGAGGCTCTAGACTAAAATATGCTCCTCGAGATTAGGCTTGGGAGCCAGGCAAATCTTGCCATAATTAAGTCTCCATGTGGATAGCAAGCGTGTCGATTATGCTTTGAAACCGAGGGCTGGACAGTCGAATTGCTGGGGTTAGTAATGCTACCCTGGGGAGCGGTATTTACAACCAATAGCTGCCACGACATTTTGCTGAGCGCCGGATGAGATGACGACGGGTATCGTGGAATGTTCTTTTCTGACCATTCTTAGGCGAGCATTTGAACATGTCTCTGATGCGCCGGTATCTTTACGGAGGACACCCCAGGCCCCCTTGCGAGATGATCTACAGATCTGAAAGATTCCCACGGGGATCCCGACCTCCCTTTCGTCCACTGCTCATCGTGAGCACCTTGCTTCCCAAGCACAAGTAGATATTCCACACGTCCTTGAGACAGACAGAAGCCTCGCCATGAAGGAAACCGTTGAAGCCGACGTAGATCAACCTCATTGTGTAAAGCGGGCACAGGGCACGATTTGGATCTCCAGAGGGAGGGCAGACGACCATTTCATCAAGAGGAGAAAGCGCTCCGTCCTCAAATATTCTCCACCAAGTAATAATCTCTTCCCATCACACCGCATGGCGGCGATGTGACCCTAGTCGCCTATAGCCTGGGGTCCCTGTTAACGCCGCATCCGATTCTGTTGTTGAAGAGGTCCATCCATGGTTTCTGCAGGCTGTTTGCTCTTTGTCGTCGTCCGTACTCCGTAACTTTCCCTGGCTGGCATCTGGAAGATTGCAACAGTCATGGTTGTGGCGCCTGTGAATCGTTGAGGTCCTGGTCGTGGAGCTAGCAAAGTGACATTCTTCTACAAAAGCATGGATTCTTGGAGATGGGGATAGGGTCGAAGGTGGACGAGAGGTGGCTGCTGGAGTTGGTACATGCCATTGGCGACACGAATGACGATTGGGGTACACTCGTTAGATGGAAGAGAGCATCAAGGCAATGAAAGTGGTGTTTCGTGGAAGTCGATGGAGAGGGGGGGTACGAAAGTACGAAAGTTTCGTTTCGCAGACCAAAGAGCAAGGCAGCTGCCGCTTTAGATAATTTCCTCAAGGGGAACGAAATGATAGCCAAAACGTGCCGCCGCTTGAAAGACGTCTTCTCCTCTTCTCCCCTGTGCAGCTCCGCTCTGCACTGTGATTATTCTCTCCATATGATTTGCTTCACACTCCCGTCGCGTCGCGGGAGATCACCTGCTGCACAGAACACAACACCACTCCCATGGTGGATGACTGGACGTATCCAAGGATTCCAAGGTACGAGGACTTGTATCCAACATTTTACGACTCTCAACAGACGATTCCCAGGTTCCTGAACAATGGCTACCGCGGTGAGATGTGCGGCTTCCGCTGCAGAACCGCAAACTGTTGTTTGTGGACGGAAATGGTCGAAAATGATACGTCTTGAAGCGACGGCCTACGACAAATCCCAATGAAGCATAAACCACAATAATTGTTACATCATTATCCGTGTTATATTATTCGACAAGTCCTTCTCGAGTCTAGCGACCACGGCACTAGGGAGACCGTCCACGAAGGATTCCCCTTTCGGTTGCTTCTCCACAACTCCACCTTCCACAATGTGACAGACCACACCACCTTGCCGTCCAACCCTCCTGGGTTCCTGGACTCTTCAGTTCCTTTGCAGACACCAGACACGAGACTGCACCGTATCTCTACGAATCGTGCTCACTACGCAGCCTTCGAGTACATCTATCTGCAAGGGGTGAAACTGGACTGGTCACCCCCACGAGAGTGCCAACAAACGCCCTCTGATAATCCCAATTGGCGGTGGAAGAATTGCACACAACATATATTTTCATTGGTTGCGGCAAATGAACCCATCTGTGCATATCCGATCGTTGTTCCATCGGCCGGGTTTTTGAAGCTTGAAAGGTTCACTGTGGCTCTGCGAGTTTCATGTTTGCGATCAGATCAACACAGAGGGTCTCAGTCTCGCGTACCGGACAGGGCTATATACGGCCAGAGCCAAGCTAGGCAAGCCAGACAAAGCCAGGCCGGGACTCAAGATGGAGCATGTATTTGGGCTTTTGTTCTTGTCGTGGGCTGGTGGGACGGCAGCTTCGTATTGAGAAGGTTGGAATTTGCACCACAGCGGTGACAGAATACTGAGTATGGCATAGAGTCCCTGAAGCACGAAAAGGGGGGATGGCGTGGGGCGCCGGTAATCACGACCAGAGGTGACATACAGTACAAAGTTGAGAGCACTCGTGCTAGACAGGAGACCGTAGTCTGGAGCGTCAACGGCGGTTCATCACTTCTCCTGAGCCCTCACAGACGGGTATGCAGAGGCAGCAGCATTCTCTTACTTGTAACGGGTACGAGATACGCAGCGGCTGAGCGTCGAATGCGAGATACCTTACAAAACTTCCCGTTGAGAGTGGTAACTTCTCGGGTCAACAACACGAGTGGAAAGCGTGCCCGCCTCGTGGCGCTCCTGGCGGCCGGGCTTCACGAGTTCACGAGTGCTCGCAGGCGACGACTTTTGAGTGGCTACCAGTCACAATTTTCGCAGTAAGCCACCATGTCCCATCCTCGCCTTTTGCACCTGTCAGATACTGATCTACGTTTTCCGAGCAGCAAGGATCATCATGGCGCTTTTGGCTCATCTGCTCCCTCGACAAGACATGGGGAGAAGGAACCTGGATCGCAAAGCACGGTGGACAAGAAGCGGGTGAGCTTGCAACAGAGACTTCCGACTCGATTTGACACAGCTCCACCGAGATGCTTGGCTTCTGATGTCCTCAAGGATCGTGGAGCCGAATTGGTGGCAGACGAGCGTGGGACAATGGTGGCCGATGGGCGAGGGGGTTTGGACCAGCCTGCAAGCGATGCCCGGCAGCGCCTGCCTGGCAGCCCGCCGACAGTGTAGTTTGTGACACGCTCAACCTGTGAGTTCGAAACCACCATAGGTTGACGGCGTCATGAGACAGGAAGTGTCCTGGACCGAGAGATGCGGCGGTCCGTAAAGACTTGTTGACGCCCCCTCACTCGCCGTTGCTTCCTCAGTGGTATCACAGTGCACGACGGGTGATTCTCCAAAACTGACAGGACGATGAGGAAAGGATGTCCAGATCCTGCCTCTACGCAAGATCCCGCCCTGACGTCGGCACCGATCGAACGGTAGCAGAGCGTGGCTTTCCTGCCAGCCGCCCGTCAGGCGTCTGGCAGAAGCAAAACCCTCTGGAAAAGGGATATTCGTACCGGGTGGCCGTTTCCACAGGCGATCTGGCCAACATATTGAGTTCGCGTGCGACTAGAAAGAGTTGCGATCGACAGCGAGACGACGGTTCAAGAAATAAGTTACGCTTAGGGTTGCTTCTATTATATTGATGCAGCTGGACAAGTAATTATTGTGGAATTTTGTGGCGGGTTGAATTGTCTGGGACGACGACACGCGCCTGTGATCTGCTGCAAATCTCTATTCTTTTTCTGTCTCTGAGATTTGCTGAGATTTGCACTGCGCCGTGTCTTGACACAGCACACTGTTGATTTCGACTGAACTGGCGTGCTGCCGAGGGTTCTGACGATACTATGCATTCGCGCACGACCACCACGGTAACCCTGCAGCTTATCATCCATCCCAACCATGAGTTCTCACGGGCCTCTCGCCTTCGAAGCGAGGGAACCTTACAGACGCCCACGGTCGATCGTTGGAGGAAGGAGATGAAGTTAATTTGCCGCTGCCTTCCAGAACACCATTGTTGATGAGCTCCGTACGGGCGACACTGTACACCAAACAAGCACTGACACCGGTCTGGTGCGATGGCTCTCTTCACAACTCAACACAATTTTGCTACGGCTCTGCTCATCTCCAAGGACAGCGCAATCCTCTTGCGACCGAAGCTGGAACGGGGTAATTGAGAAATCGCAGGGGGTTTGGAAACGGATCCGGCACCGCACGAGTTACCATTATCGAAAGCAAAAATTGCGTCCAAAGGGAACCCGTTCCAAGTTTGCAGCATTAAAGGAGAGCATTAAGAATCGCTGCAGAATCATTACCATTTGCCGGCTGGGACCAAGCACCAGAAAATGAGAAGTTTGCAGGCAGATCCTGCCACTTGCGCATCAGCATCAGTGCTTCAGTGCTTCCGTCACCCTCGTCTCATGTGCTCCCTGCTGGTTGTCAGGAACCTTGCCAAAACAACCTGAAGTGACAGGCAGGGTGACCCCTTGTCAAACCTGAGAAGATTTACACCTTGAACGGGTTATGCTCCGAAGCAGCATCTGCATCGAACAAGCATTCCAGCCTAACCGAACGATATCGTCCTCCACAGCGGAGGCCTTTCAATGGTCCATTCAAGCAAAGCTATCCTTGCCGGTCTTGCCCTCTGCTGGCCATCTGCCCTTCCCCACCACCAAAACGAAGCAGCAACGGTGCTAACGCCGCGGGCAAGCTGGCCATTGAATATCACAATCACGTCGCCTTGGGGTATCCAAGGTCGATGGCTTGGTAGCGACCCGCACCCAATTTGTGAGGGGCATTGTCACTTGGTACCTGCTAGGATCTGTATGGTGGATTTTCATTTGATCGCCCACTTGCTGAGCACTTGGGAGCTTCTGAACTTCTGATAAATATCATCTATCCCTCGCGCACCTCTTGAAGCCTTGCATTCGCAGGCGTATTCAAACAACACTAAGGGTCAGATACAGGAAAATATACAAGAAAGAACAAACTTAATACTTTAATCTCAACGACCAAGTCATCAACATCACCATAATCACCAACACCATCGAACCGATTATATCAGTCATCTCAAATCAATCCTGTTTCCTTGGTTCGTCGAATCTAGGTCATGAACCTCTCAAGTTTAGTACACGCTGGTAGACATCAAGCAGGGCAACAACAGTTCCGAACATATTCCACACAACCACAACAAATCATGTCTTCATCAATGGTTGGACATCCATACAACACTCAACCAATGTCCCAAAACTCGGCGTACGCATATGTCGCTGTTCCTCAACCACCGCCTTCGCCACCAGTAGACGAGACATCAAAGTGCTCATTACCATCTATCTCGAGTCTTCTTGGTTTGGCTGATGGGTCAAGTCCTCAAGAGCAAACACAGCAAGGTAAGCGGGATTGTGTCGTTGTCGTTGAATATAAGTTGACGTTTTGAAGCAGCTCAATCCGTAAAGAACGACGGCCGACCAAGCTCAGAACATCAGCAATATGGACCTTCGCCCACCATGAACACTCGTGGTGCGCTTCCACCTACGCCACCAATGCAAGCAGAGTCCTACGACGGACGTCAGTCACCATCAGCTGGGTCTGCTTCTGGTTATTCGGTCGCATCTGCCCCAGGATATTATTTCAGTCCTCCAGTATCTGCCATCAACAACGTCGAGCCACACAATCAACGACAACAACAGATGACAAGTATTCCTCAACGTAGAGTCTCGATGCCGGCCGCACCGATGGCGTATAACCAACCTGCATACAATGCACCACAGTACACAATGTCTCCTGGTCAACAATCTATGGGCTCGTACTATGCTAGTCCAATGCAAGCAGCACCTCCACAGTCGCAGATCTCTGGACTCTACTATCAACGTCCTCTTCCTCAAGTAAGTTTTATCAAACATTTTCCCGAATTTTCAACTAACGTTTCCAGCAATTTCAACCATCATTAATGCCTGTATCTGTTACACTCACTCCATCATCTGGAGCTAATCCGTGGCAACATCACCATTATATCTCTCCATCATCAGTTGCATCATTTCCGCAATCACAGGATCGATACATTTGTCAAACCTGCAACAAGGCATTCTCTCGACCATCGAGCTTACGCATTCACTCCCACTCGCATACTGGAGAAAAGCCTTTCAAGTGTCCCCACCAGGGATGCGGCAAGGCTTTCAGTGTTCGGAGCAACATGAAACGACATGAACGCGGTTGCCACAGTTTTGAGGGTGGGGCTTGATCCAGATGAAACCGATGATCAAAGCGCAAATAGAGTCGACACGTCAAAACTCATAATGTATAAAAGCAGGACCACGTCTAATAGTCATTTGTTTGGTTTTGCAAAGGCATTTTGGCCTCATTCACACGCGCGCGCGATCCTTTCCTTTTCATTTTTCATTTGTCAAACTAAATCATACATGTTTTGCGTCACTGCATGTCGTGGAACGGAGTTTTTGGATATGTGGTATAATACACTACAATACACTACGGTGGATATGCATTTACAACGGGCGTTCTAATGGGTCGAAGATTTTGCATTGCGGAAAAGGGGGGTGGGGAGTTTGCGAGATGGAGAAGAACGTTTTTTGTATTGGCGCAGTGGGAGTTTTGAGACCTTTGTATGTCGTCTGTCTATCGGATACGCAGAAATGCAGGACGAATCTGCGAATGAAAAGATGGATGGTTGGATGGAAAAGACGCATGTATTAAATGTAAAACCATAATTTATATACCACAATATTTTGAAGATTTATTTCCTCACATATATTTCTATCTAGGTTTCGATAAAACCTTTGGTATGATAAGTGTTACACCGTGAATTACAGATTGCGCATATCGGTACATGGCAATGTCATTCCACGGCAAAGAATCTTAATCACGATTCTGACATACATCTACGCATTCCTTTCCGCACTTGCAGCGACGGCAGGTAGGCAGCCTTCTCAGGCGAGCTCTTTTTGCGCCTTTTTTCTTACTTATACACAGTGCCGAGCGGCAGGATTTCTTATGCTGTAACGGGAATCCTGCGACCGCTTTATTGGATCTCTGTCACACACACACACGAGAGGTGGGAGGTAAAATCCTTCGCTTGGGGTTGTATTGAGGAGAGCTTAATTTTAAACGAGGATGGGGGAAGGATTGAAGTCATACACATGCAGATGAGGTGGGATTGTGAGGGAGAGTTTGGTGATAAGCGAGGATGGGGAAGGGAAGGATTGCAGTTTAAATCGCAGGTTTCGCCTCGTGAATGCGTTGGAGGTGGGTGTGGTTTATTGATCCTTTTGGATTCGGAGATGCCGGTTTTTTGTTTTGGCCTTGTCTTTGAGAAATGGGAGATGGTGTTTAGGTTGGGAGTGGGAGTGGGAAGTATGGTAGAGGAGCCTGCATTTTGGTTTTGGGATGAACTGGGATGCGCTAGGAGGGATGGGATCGTAGGGGAGCGCGAGTGGGATTTTGGCTGTGAGGAGGAAATCAAAGTTTGCGTTTTCGGGTGCGAGAAAAGTATCTTGATTCGTGGTTGTGCATTCAAGACATCGTTCGCTTATCGCGAGAGAATGGAGAGTGGGATGTCTGAGTAGTACGATTATTTTCCATGGCACTTCGAATTTTAGGAGGGAAAAGGATAGAAGGTATTAGGCAGCTGACTTCGGAGTTTTCAGTGATATGTTGTTGGAAGTTCTAGTCGTGATAGATGGGGAATCGTGTGTAGGTGATAGATGATGCATCTGCTGGTGGGAATCTTGATCGCATGCATATCCGGGCTTGCGACATTTCGACGTGTATTCGTGGATGATCTTTTGTATATTGCGGAAACGGAATACAACTGGTAGAATACTGGTTCGTCGTGATTGTTGTCGTTGAGGACGGAAGTCACGTGTTCTATCCAACTTGTCATTTCATTGATTTCGACCTGCATCAACATGACCCATGACTGATTTCAGTCGAAATAAGTTTCATCTTACATGTCTAACTCTGATTTAATGCCTAAACCGCAAATTCCCCACCCTAATATTCGAGAACATTTCCGCATTAAGTAATAATCAAACAGCTAAATCACCAGCTTATGCAGCCCTATCCTTAGTCCAGGAACAGCATAAACACACGTGTACGATATAAAATTGTTTTGATATCCAAATCCCCCGTCGTAATACCACTCCACCCGCCTCTTTATAATCATAACCCACCCTACTATCACCACTACACCCATCTCCACGTATACAACATATAATATAATCAGCTAAACTAAATGCAAGGTACCCGAGCCGTCCATCATCATCGTCGTTGTTGCAAGGGGCCAGATTAAGCGAGACAACGGCGCTCGCAAAGGGATTAACCTTGTTTTTTTTTGGGGGGGGGGGTAAGGGGCCCTAAGCGAGGATCGTTGTTGATCTGATCTGAGGTTCCTTGTTTAGCTGGACGGCCTTCTAGCGGGATCTTCGGACGAAGAAGTAGCGTTGGGCTATTAGATTTTTCGGGATTTGGCGCGGGAGACGCGTGGACGTCATGATTTTTGGGGGGTGTGGAATTATGGTGGATTTTCACGATTGAAAGGAACTGACGGGTTTTGAGTGTCGAAACTTTTGTTGTTGGATATCTTATTGTTAGGGGGCCTGTGATTGGTTGGAGTAGAGGCATGAGGAAATCGCTTGTTCGGGCAATTCATAAAACAGCTTTGGTATTCAGGCACAATGGGGAGTTGCTACAGGCATTACGAGTATGTCATATTTCGTTTTACAAATCTCAGCATTTGCGGTCAGACATAATAAATCCTTGTAACGGACTGTTTTGGTGATCAGTTATCTGGTTGTGGTATTGCCTCTGGAGGATCTTGAAGAAGGGTAGTCTGGAATGCCACGAGATTGATGTGGTTCATGGGAGGGGAAGGCATTGTTGGATGTGTTTCTAGAGGGGTTTGAGGGCTCGGATGGCGGAGTGGTTTGGGAACTTGGGTTTTGAGGGTGCCTTGAGATGTGATTCTGGCGTGTGATGTGGAGTGAGGATTGTTGGGTTTGGATGAGTGGGATGTGGATGGGATAGCGTTTTGGTTTGGATTAAGAATTTCGGGAAGTCACAATAGTCTTGGGAGGTTGGAACTGCAAGTCATGCAATTACCGGCCTCCAATTTCTACATGACTCTGCTAGCTTTGCTTTGATCTAGAAGTTACGGGCAAGTCCGCCTTGCACATCCACCTGATAGAAATAGACATGATATGACAGATGATGATTACTATGATCATCCTTTAACCTTAACTCCATCAGGTCGTATATCTCATTTGCCACCAAACCGCCCATAACGCATGACTCTCATGTTTTCACATCCGCATTATTGCCATGCTTCCCAAGCTCAACCTCAGAACTGTTCCTAAACGCATAACAATCATGTTCTCACATCATCCCATCACCAAACCCAGGCTCCCATCAAATTAAAAGATTCCCAAAACAAAAGCAGGCGACACAATTCTTCGCCTCCTCATCTCACTCATCACCGCACATCAGATCCCATGTTTTCAATCCCCTCCCAAAGAGCAGCGATAATCCTCCGTTAATTCTCCTCCTCAGATCACAAGAGCACTGCCATGCCACAAGCCGAACTCGCCATCTGATCTTCATCCCAGGGGAGCCAGGCCTGTCAGGCAAACCTAGCTCTCTCATCACTGCTACCCAACCCCACTCTTCAACTCGGGATGAGAACCTTTCCGTAGCTGTCACCGTTTCAACCTCATCTCATCCCATCTCATCCCAGGCCTCATCCCATCTCCCCCCACCCACACCCACAACCCTCTCTAGGCCAGGGCACCCAAAACCAAACCACCATCCGCAAACCCTTTACCGCCATCCCCATCCCTCCATCAACAAACCAAAGCCCCAAGCGCCCCCCTTCACGATGTCCCAGCACCACGCAAGGATACCTTAAACTCTAAGCGACGTTAGGGGCTCGCCCTCGCTTAACCGCTGCGGTGGAGATCATACAAGCGGGCGGGCTGAAACGAAGGGAAAAACCCTGTGCACGAACGGCTCCCCTGTCCCCGCAAAACGTTAAGCAAAACGGTGCCTGTGCCTGTGCCTGTCCAAACACCTGCGCTCGCCCCTCTGTGCGCTGAGACAATCTGCTGTTCATTACCGAGAGCGTGCGGGTTTCGGGGTTAGGTGTTTAGATGGGATGAAGGATGTTTGAGATTGGAGGGTGCTGATTGGGTGGTGGGAAAGGGGGATTGATTGGGTGAGAATTAATGGTTGTGAAGGATGGTTTGTGTGGGATGCGATGTTAGTGGTTCGACCGGTGGGTTGGGAGGAGGAATTCGAGGCTGTGTGAAATCGATCTCTACGGGTTGGTGGTGGGATCGAATGAGGTGAGATGGTTTTGTGCAATATAATTGGTGTGGTTGTTGTAGGGCTGAAGTGTTGTGCAGAGTGCTACTGCATGGAAGCCAGTGTGAAGATTAGTTGATCTAGCCTTTTTGATCTTTTAAAGAAATGTGTCAGGAAAAGCATCTACTCAGAATGCATGAATTGTTATGAGGAATTGATTGATTTTGGGGGCCAAGAATTGTGTTTTTGAAAACAAAAGGAGTAGCTATCCTCGAATCTATGAACACGAGCTTTTTCTTGCACGGAGTGGAAACTTTCCTCGAGAATCTTGTAAGTAGATTGCAGGGCAAACACTCGTATATTTTTCTTATTCTAACTAAAGTGAAAAGTCTTCGATGTTTGAGATTATTAAAGCACAACTAATTGTGAAGTGTCACTCTTTTTGACCCGTTTTATATATTCAGTCAGTTCAAATATTTCAAGCTTAAGCCTCCCGGAATTCGACGACCAGAACTATAGTTCAGATTGAGTACTCTTACAACTCTTTTGAGCCTTTTCCCAAGAGCTTTGCAATTCAAAACCATCCTTCACAAAAGTTTTGTGCACCGGTGGTCTGAGTTTCGTTTTGAGTCTAATAGCTATCTTGATCATTCCAATACGTAGTCTGATGAAACACTTCCGGACCTGTAGCATAAAAGTCCCAACCAAACTTGAGTTTGATATATTGCATCAAATGACTTGCCAATTTGATATGTCCAACATCTGTAGGGTGCCATTGAGGTGCGATATCATTGTGCTGTAAAATTCCTGTAGTATTAAAATATGACACAAATGGCGCAGACGTCGTATTAGATTTATATGTAGCGTTTTTTGCGTGATCGTAAAGTGTCGGATTTGCCAGATAAGCCGGATCATTGAAATGTTTGTGGATAGTTTGGAGTTCAGGATACCAGGCTCCAGACTGCGCGTAACTATTTCCGTTTGCGTAGAATCCGTTCCAGACGGACTATCCCAAGTTAACGATTAGCAAAAAAAGAATGGACATACACTTACAATCAGAACAACCTGAGCATCCGGCCAAACCGCATGAATCCCCTCAATAAGCATAGTCATCTGCGCAACATACCCTTCCGATCCCACACTATTCGCTTTATTCGCATCATTCGTCCCAAGCCCAATGACCACAATATCCGCCTTCTTCTGCTTCGAAAAATCCCACAATTCAGGCTTATCACCATATATCTGGTTCGCTCGCCACGAGACATCAGACGTGTAGAACCACTGGTGAAACATACCTCTCGGATTCCCCCAGCATTCTTTATCGAAAGCGCAGATACCGGGGTATGCGGTGATAGAATACTCTGTGTCTCCTAGACCCGCGGCGAGTCCGTATGCGTAACTTGATAGCCCTTCCAGCGTGGCGAAATCGCCGGCCATTAAGGAGTCTCCGATGAATTCAATGGTGCGTCCGAAATCGGGAAGTTTGACAAGTTTCTCGCCCTGAGAGACGTGAACAGAGTCGATTTGGACGCCATATGCCCAGTTTGTGACGCGTAGCTCGAATGTGGATGGATTAATTGGGCTGTTGAGGCTGATTCCGGGCGTGTTTTCGCTCACTAGAAGATGTGTGGCGCTCGTTGTGATATTCGTAAGTTGCCAATCTTGGCCAGAGATTCGATAGGCGATGAGGACTGTGTTTGTGGTCAACGGCCCAAAAGTGATAGCGACTTGTTTGCCGGTGAAGCCAAATTTCAGCCCTGGTGCTCTAATTATAGTCAGTTTGTACAACTTATCGTGGTACACTTGTCGCTTGTCACTTACGACCACCAACTCAGATGCTTGGAATCCCATCTTCCTTTGTAAGATAATTCTGTGGCGTTTGCCGAGTATGTCTCGAATGAATAGCTAGAAGCGTCGATGACGGTGTTGGGATAGTTTGTGATTCGGACTTGGCCATTTTCGAGAATTGTTGCGGAGGCCAGGGTGATACAACCCATGAAAAAGCAACACACGGATCTCAAGAACATCATGAATGGTAAGAGATACTTTTACTAGCACCATAGCCACTGAGCTGAATAGTAAAGGCAGCTTATTTATAGCAAAACTTGGAGGTGTTGACGACATGGTGGAAATTATGTCGTCTCGGTACTGACAGCCGAACTAGATGATCTTCAATGAGGCTATCCAGACTCCGGACCGAGTTAAAGGCGGCGAGATCCTCAATCATCTATTGCCCAAGAAACAATATGGCTTCCCTGCAAAGGAGGTATAAAAAAATATCCGCTGGCTTGCCGCTTTTCTTCATTAATCTTAATTAAGGTACACAATATTATATCCACTTATAACATTCCCAAACATCACGAAATACCGGTCCAATGGGAGGTTCAGCCGAGCAAACCTAAAGTCGAGTCTATGCGGGGTATAAATTGAGTTAGTGCCGGTTGTTTAGGTTCGGGCCTTGCGAATGATAATTTATCCGCCATACAGCGTGGGTGTTGAAGTGGATGATCAGCATGCTGAATAACAGCCTGTAGATATCGTCATATGTGGCGGGTCTGTTGTACTTGGAGCTTTAACTTGTAGTGAGAATGATGAGAGCTCATTGATAGTTTTTGGCACTTTTTTTGATTTCTATTTGTCAGGTGATGAAGTTCTGGTTGTACGATTACTGACTCTTCTTTACATCCTTCTTTTTCGACAATAGATACAGAATTCTAGTAAAATTCAACAGCCAAATCCTTGTTACTAATCACAAGTTTCTCACTTCAGAGCAATCCAAATAAGTCAAGTCTCAACCCATTCCACCTGCAAATAGACTTTAGAATTTTTAATCGCATATTTCACAACCTCCTTGCTCTCCTTTTAACATCCAATTACCTTACCCAATAGCCTTAACATGATCAGTAACCAAACACTGGAAGTCGCTACTCCCAACATAAATCGTGTTCCCATCATTGTGAGTCTGACCCGTACTAAGTTGGTCACCCCATTGCCAGAAGAGGTCTGCAGAGTTTCCTGGAGTGCTTCGTGCTGCTGCTTGCCATGGCTTTTCGGTAGCGCAGTGGTTACTCGATACACCATCTGTGTCAAAGTAAGAAACACTGTCTTGAAAATTTGGTCAGTGAGAGGGCAAACTAACATTCTTCAAAAAGACAAGGTTTGCCAGCCGCAAGACAGGCGTCGGCGTGGGCTTTGATCCAGGCCGCGGTATCTGTGTTAGCCATGCCCCCTGAATATTCAATTAGCTCTCATTCTTGTCAAAAAGAAAGATTAAACATACAAGATCCCGGATACCAATGATAAGTCCCAAAATCGAGCGTCTTAATCTTCAAATTCTTAACAAAATCAGTCCCCTCGCTAGTCCCATACGGATACGCCGAGCTGCCAGGAACACCCATCCCCTCATCACCAAGCGTCACCATATGGTTCGGGTCCAAACTCTTCACATACTTTGACGATGCATCCGCCCAGTTATAGATGACATCTGTGCTGCACCCCGGACATCTCGGTTCGTTGGCGAGTTCCCAAGCAAAAATCGCACTGGAGTTCTTGTAGCGATTGACAACAGCTTTGATATACGCCTGATACACGCTTTGAGCTTTGGCGTTCGTGTACCAACCGGTCTTAGTGCCTCCATAGGCTTTCACATAAGCGTTCATACCACCGTAATCATCCCAGAAATTGACAAAGTTGATGATGAGTTTGACCTTGTACTTCTCAGCCGCCGCAACCACGACGTCCATACGCTGAAGACCATTCGCACCAGTATTGATCGTTGCACCAGACGAGGAATGGGATTGGTAGTAGACGCCGTTCCCGCCGCCATTGACATCGTTGAAGCCCCAAACCCGGAAAATCTTCAGCCCGGCGGAGGCGACGTGGCTCATGGTGAGATCGATGTCGGCATTGTTGGTAAGGAAGCCGATCCAGTATGAGTTTGATCCTGCGAAGTATTTGGTTACGCCGTCGATAGTGAACTTAGTTCCGTTTGCCGAGGGGTTTGCGAAGACGGCTTTTTTTTCGATCGCTGGAAAGGCGGAGACGACTGCTGATGCAGCAAGAATGCTGTTTATTGTTGACCACTTCATCTTGTACAATCTTGAACTGAATCGTGGTGTTGTAATCCTAGAAGTAGAAGGGAAAACTACATGTATTAATAGTCCACATCTTGAATATCATATCCCCTGTAACACTTCATTATAAGTGGGTATCGCTGCGCAACAAGTCTTGAACATTAGTAGCATGAGACCCTTCAATTCTCCGTGCACTTCCCAAGAATCGCCATTGTATGACGTTTATTTTTCCACATGAATTAACTAACTGTCGGTAGTATATTCAGCCAGAAGCGGCGCGACAGGCCGCGGAGGGGGCTCTTCCGAGAATTCAGAACGACCAATTCGTGTTAGCCCCATATTGTGATAGAAACCCTTTTGAAGAATAACATGTTTAATTGTGTCATATTATAATCTGCAGGAAAAAGTCAAGTATTGTACTTTCGATTGCGTTTCAGATGTTGATTTCAGTTCAGAGCTACAAGCCAAGTTATCATGTAATCATGTAGAGGGATTCAAATCATTCAACTTGGACGTAGCAACTTACAGGTATTTATATACAAATAATGTTCTCAGTTCGATTTGAATGCTCGTTATTCGTTATTCCTAATGTCGCAGCACAGGCAGGGCACATGTATTATAGCCTCAGGGGTGCTCGCTTAGCTCAGCACCCCCCTTAAATAGAGCCTTCGGCCCTCCTTGTCGGAGGGTAAGAGTTCCCTCTTAAATATACTCCCACGGCACCTTTGCGGTTCGTGTGACACCTAATAATTATTCCGGGGAAATCGTTATGGTTAATGGATGGCGAAGTGTTTGATTGACAAGCAAGCGGGAAGTGGTTATTGAGTCGTACTCTCAATTCTATTCGTTCTGCTTTCACTTTCTTTATGCGTCGAGCTTGTTAGCTACATTATCTCATTATGTCTCTAATTCTATTCAAGAAGTTCTGGTATCAAGTACATCTTCGACATAAGAACCGGGCCATTGGGTGCGATGCTGTGGTATGCGGTGACTGGACCTGGAGCATATCGATGATTTTGCCACTGAAATCGTCGTCCCATTAAACCTTTCATAGTTTAGAGTGGCAAGGAACTATTCAAGATGTTAGTAAATGTGTTGTAAACATGATCTCGCCACCCCTCGTTCTGATTGAAAACTTGATCAACCCCACGTTTCCACTTTCGACTGTTTTGCCATGCTCGCAACACTACAACAGCCTCGGCCATGTAAAAACTCATATCACGATATCAATTCAAGCTTCATGCCACGCGCCTGTCCACATCGCGGCAGATCGTCAACAATGATCTAACCTTTTTAGCGAATTGTGATAGCGGAAGAAGACGTTCCGTAGCTATCCATTTCACTTCCACTAATACCACAATTAAAGAACTTGGCTCATGGACTTAGTCCACTCTAACGAATACTTCGTTCGGCCGTTTGTTTGACTGCAAAATCTCATGGAGAAATCAAAGCCGAACAAGGTCCTCCACACCGCAGTCGGGAACGCGGGGAAATAATGCGGGGTGCAGCTAGAGACAGGGGAATGATGGAATGCCGGTTGAGATTCCGTCCTTATATCTTAGATTCCCATGGGAGTTTCTCGGTAGCCTATCTAAAGATTCTTTTTCTTCTCTCAAGTCCAATAAACGTGTGTCAATTTAAGCGAGAGAACCAGAACCATGCCCTACGAGATCATCTGTCAGCGTTTAATATATATTTGTTTCATGTTTCAACGGCTATAGCAGAGCCCTTGGCCATTGATCATTTTTTGGATGACGAAGTCTGCTGATATGAAATTAATCAATACCAGATCCTACCTTACAAGGGAACTGTAGGGAATATAAACAGACCTTCTTTTCCACAACAATGACACGACCTTCCACCCTCAATATTTTCGTACTATACGACTACCAAGATGAGAGCCGCAATCGTTCTCGCCGCCTTCGCGGCAACAGCTGCATGCCATACCATCATGCAGAAGATATCCGTGAATGGTGCAGACCAAGGACAGCTTAAAGGCGTTCGCGCCCCAGACAGCGACTACCCCATCACGAACGTGAACGACGGGAATTTTGCATGCAACACCGGGATAACTCACAAGGATAGTAATGTGATTAGTGTGCCGGCTGGAGCGAGGGTTGGTGGGTGGTGGGGACATGTTATTGGGGGTGCGCAAGGCGCGAATGATCCTGATAATCCGATCGCTGCTAGTCACAAAGGTATGTTTCCGAGGAAGAAGAGAGGAGGGACGAGGGAGACGTGAAATTTGCGTGCTAATGGTGTGATGTTCAGGTCCGATCATATATTACTTGGCCAAAGTATCAAACGCCGCAACCACGGGTACAACCGGCCTCCAATGGTTCAAAATAGGCCAAGAAGGTCTCAACAATGGGAAATGGGGTGTCGATACCATGATCGCCAATAAAGGCTGGCACTACGTCGACGTTCCATCATGCATTGCTCCTGGCGATTATCTGCTTCGAATCGAACTCATTGCGCTCCATAGTGCTGGATCTAATGCTGGAGCCCAGTTCTACATGGAGTGTGCGCAGATTAGGATAACAGGGTCCGGAACCAAGACAGGGACGAACTTGGTCAGCTTTCCTGGGGCATATAAAGCGAATGATCCGGGGATTTTGATTAATATCTATAATGGTTCGGGCCAGCCAAATGGTGGTGGGAAGGCCTATGTTGTTCCGGGTCCGCCTGCTGTTACTTGTTGATATGATGGTAGAATAATTGATCTTGGCAATTGAGTAGCGAATTCGATTGTTGCAGGTTGGTGTTATCTGCCGATTTGGTTAACAATAAATATAAACTACTCTTCCGCATGTATTTTCACTCGTCGGCCACGTAGTACTTGAAGCGAGGGTGGTGAACTCCCTTGGCGTGATACGAGGCTTAATAATATAAAATAAATCGCCCATTAACATTTCCATGGCAAGAATATTACTTGAAGTTGGGAAGTAGTAGGTGGAGTCAGTCAAACAAATCTCGCCTCGTAGATTTTTTTTCTGTGGTACTCAGAACCTCAATGCACGGCTGTTGCCGAGAAAAGTATTGCTTGATGAAAAGTCTAGACTTTCCCACGTTGTTGGGTTTCACCAGCCGCCAAAGACAGCAAGCCGCTTCGCGCCACCTTGAATACGACCCAACTGCTCGGAAGCACTTTGTACGAGGAAGACGAGGTTGTGGACTGGAAGAGCGGAAAGGTGTTGGCTGACAGGATTGCTTTTTTGATTGCAAATATTAACGCCCTACCGTTCACCAATCCTTACACCCATTGTCTGAAAGCAAGAGCTCAGCGTACAAGTTATCTTTGGCGGCCGCATAAAGTCTGGAACGCCTTGGGACTAGAATATGCGAATGTGACCTCACGAGTCCAGTAAGTCGAAGACACTTGCATGTGCCAGTATGACTGTAGCCTTGACTTCGCGAGTGCTATATATTTTTGGCTGGTGGCGATTGCACTTCGGGGATGTAAACGTTGGCTTGTTCGAATGGGGTTTCGTCACACTTGCACTTAACAACAACGAAGGTGACGAACATCCTGTTTCCGAATTGTTAGTGCTCCCCGAGCAGTACTGCCAGTACTGCAGTGTGAGATACTCCCAATTGAGCTCACCCTTAGCCACCTAAACCCCCAAATGCACTCTTGGATGCAACCCCAAATTTTTCTGTAGGACGGAACATCCCAATAGGATTAGGCTTATGTTGTGAAATATATGCCGTGCAGACCTTGGTAGCTTGTTGAAGTGATATGGGTACCAAAAGGAAACATGATCCAGAATAGGAAGATATGGTAAACGTCTAACGAACATCAACAACACGCAGGTAACACGAGGTACTGGTATTGCCGAGATTTACAGAGGAGGCTATGCCAGTTTGGCCAAGGTCTGGGAATCGCTGAGGCGTTTTCGACAGCTTGAGAAGTTAGATATCACAGGTTGAACAATGCTCAGCGATCAACCACTGATACGTCTTTCAGATAACCTGGGTAGGGTGCCGAATACCATAATACAATCTTGAATGTACCCATCAAGTTATCGACTCTTAGGTTAGCCAATGGAAAGTTTCTCTGTGTAAACAGAAAGTTGCTCGTATTTGGCCCGGTCTCTTGAGATTTGTCCTGTGAACTTGACCGCCCCAATTTACAGCCATCGAACTTGAAGCAAATCCGCACAGAAAAGTACTGGTACATCTGTACTTGTAATCATCGATTGAGGACGAGCAGGATCCCGAAATCATGGTAATCTCAGATGAAAAGATGGGAGATGGCCGAATGAGAGAAGACCTTGGCCTCCCAAAGATCCCGGTAATGACTGTGAACATGGCTCGTGTAGCTGTGATGGCATAAGCAATTGCAGGGAGAATCTGATAGCAGGATTGGGGGCCACGACGTTCGTAATGGAGATCAAATGTAGTCGGCGAAAGTTGATGGTGTTGTGGAAGAAAGATCATCGGCTGTCGTCCAAATAAACATGATCAGCGGTTTGTGCAACTTTTATGATGTTGCATAACTCATTTTTCTGTGCACAAGGTGACGCTCAAACATGCTTCCTTCAGTCACAGCAGCTATAGGTATTTACCAGCTACTTATTATAACGTTTCATATGTGTAATTATGAGCTCAACATACGCTTTTTATGTATTTCTTCCTATCATTTTAAGCGTCTTTGTTGCTGCTATTTACCTATTTTTGTAACCGTTACCGCTCGAATCTGGGGTGCAGATTATGAGCATTGATCCTTCGCAAGAGCGTCTATCCAGCCTATGGTTCCGCATATCCATAACCGCCCTGTATAGCATTCGTATATCTGTTCCTGTTACTGCTGAAGTTCTTATTTCTCTTCTTCTTATTATTGTTGTTATATTCTCTTATTCATCACTTCTTTCATTCTTTTTATCTCCTGTTATCGCATCACGGCTACACTCGTCATCACAATCGCAATCACACTCGCACCACACAATTATTTTCTCGCTTTCCTCACACCCTCACCTCACCCCCATCACATTCAGACCCTCAACCCTCCTTCCTAAAGGACCGAACAACAGGATCATCCCGGCAGCCTGCTATAGTAGACCACCGACGGGTTCCCAGCCGTTGTCTCAGCTGACAATTTTCTACCTCTTTTGACAAAAACAAAACAAAATACCCGGCGTGGTGGTAACCATCCTCTATCCCAACTTCGGCTTGGACCGCCGTTTGGCTTGGACGGCCTCTGGCTTAAAACCCTCGTTTCCGCTCGACTTCGACCGGAACCATTCACCATCCCAAGGAGCCATGGCAATGGTCCACCTCCCATCTCAATTACCATGAAGTTTACAGCACCTTCACAGCTCTCTGTGAGGGTGTCGTTGTCGCCGTTGTTTAATCCGACATCCAAACTACGACCATCGCGCAAACACATACGAAACCGCGCGCATCCGCCGTCATGGCCTCTCCAGCCAATTCAGTACCAGATACCCAACTTGGTTTGACAAATGATGAAATCGCCCTGCTCCGGCATCATCAACAGCAAGCCGCCAACAATGCTGGCTCTTCTTCGTCTCGAGCCGCTTCGCGCGCATCGTCCCAAGGTCTCCTCCTCCTCGACGGCTCCTCACTTGCTGCACTAGGCCGTCATTTCGATCATCTCATGCAACAAATACAAGCGCGGCTAGAATACCTGTCTGATCAATCGGCGAGCGTGGCTCAACAGCAATACGATCGAGCCGGAAATGCGATTGAGATGGCAGACGCAGAAATAGCACGGTTTCATGATATTTTGCGGCAGATTGACGAGCTGGAGGTGGATTTCGACCGAATAAGACATATCAGGGACATAGTAAGGAGCTACAGAGCGAGAGTGGAGGAGATGGAACAGCAATTAGAGCACAGTGGTTCGAGCAGCAGCCGACATAGACATCGGCATCACGAGAGCTCTGGAAGCTCGAGCAGAAGACACCACCATCGAAGATAATTTCGACGTTGTATACCACAAATAGTGTTGGGGGAGGATTACAATCTACGGTTTCGCGACCACTTACGAATGCGCCGGCATTCTATTCAATCTAAGGATTGGAGACGACGGAGTAAGATAAAAAGGCCTCACGGCTGGAAGATGGAACAGCCTCGCGGCTCACAATTTCTTTTTGGGGAGTTTTAATTGTTACTCGGGTTTCTTTGGATGCGGCCAATACCCAAAGCGTTCTGGATCTTCCTCACATATGGGATTTGAAGTGCCTGGGTGCTGGTTTTGATTGGATAATTGGTGTTTCCTATGTCTCGGAAATGTGCGGTATGTCTAGGGTTCCAACTTTGCTGTCCCAGTCAGCACATACAAGGCGGCTCTTGTCTTTTCGCTGAGAGCTCACACATGTATTGATTTAATGGTTCGAGAAGTGTTATTATTATGCAATTTTGCCTACCACTTAAGGGTTTCCAGAGCTTTGATCTACAATTCAATACCGTTACTATCAGTTTGAAAATTGAGATGTGATTATGGATTGCTCAGCGGTGGGTAAACTACTGAGGCATTCGTTTGCTTATGTATGGCAGCATACATGCTGGCATGAATATATGGAAGGGTTTTGATCTACACACATACTTGTCGATCTTTGATTCTTCTTTTACCCTTTTACGTCGAAGAATATTTCTACCGCACGCTCATTTCCAAATATTTACTTCAGGTAAACGGGAGAGATGCTTCATAAGGCTGATCCATCCGATGGTAAGGCTGAGATCGACAATGCGACAAGCCGGTCTAGTGTCCCGGCAAAACGTTGATCCCCGTGTGGGAATTATTTCCCCAGTCGCGTCACACCAAGGCAAACGAGGCTGGACAACACTTCACTACAATAGGAAATATTGAGTTGAACCCTCGCTCAACATGGACCCAATGGAATTGTCAGCGGCGTTAGAAGACACTAGTCCGTTTGGTGGTAATAATGAGGTGAATTATCTATTTGCCCCTTTCTACGATACACATATCTTCATCCACATGGATATTCACCCCCTCCAAACGGCATTGTGAAGCCACTTTAAGCCGCCTCGGCCTTCGTCCATCTTGCCAAATCATCTTCTCTCATATTCTTAGCATTTCATACATACTTACTTTCCTAGGATCGTTCACAGCTAGAGAGCGACCCTTACTCTACTAACTTTGGCACCTCATTCGATACCTTGCCCACGATGCCCTCTTCGGATCCCCCCTCTTCGGTCTCGAATAACAAGCCTGGATTTAAGTACAAATATCCGGAAGCTGCACCAACCCCTCCAGGAGAGGATGATACAGAGTGGAACAAGGTTTACACTGCTGCCGACTCACGGTTCTACAATCGAAATGGAAAGAGTGCCGACAAGTCGAGGAAGTTCCGGCAGTCTGGGGAGACATACGACCTGGCTCTTGTCATGATGGCTGAAAAGAAGGAGAAGTTGAGGGCTGGAGGCACGAACAAGACAGCGAAGGCAAAGGCCGCCCCGAAGAAGTTACCGGCAGCAATCAAAACAGAGGCCTCGAATAGCTCTAGGGATGGAACACCCTGGGTTGACCGGGTGCCCATGAGTATCTCGGAACAAATTAAAAGTGAGGGTCGTGCTAGAAAGGCGACATCGGCAGCCCCTTCGTCGAAACAAGGCACACCCGTGCCAGTTCCTATGAATGGTGTGAAGATGGGATCCCCTCCACCGAAGATAGATAAGCCACCTCCAAAGAAGAAAGGAACTGCTGCTCCAGTCAAAAAGCAGACAAAACCTAAGGGACCGGGTGAGCCTATTGCTCTACAGCATCTATTACTTATCGCTAACGTAGGTCAAACAGATCGACCAAATCCCAGACCAAGCAATACCAACCACAGCTCAGCTGCAACGAGACCGCCAGCGTCCGATTCTGAGAGTAATGATGGCGGGGAATATTGCATTTGCCGTGGACCGGATGATCATCGCATGATGGTTAATTGTGAGGGTGGATGTAATGAGTGGTATCATTGCGAATGCATTAATATGGATGTGGACGATGCTAGAGAGCTCCTCGACAAATATATCTGCGACCGATGTAGAGATGAAGAGACATCCACAATTTGGAGGCGCATGTGTCGGTACAACAATGTCGGTGTCCATCTTGGATGGAAACCTGACGACTGTTGTCGGAAAGCTGCTCGTGTGACCGACGAACCTCCAAGCAAATATTGCAGTGACGAACACCGTCTAGCGTTTCTGGAGTTCGTTCGAGACGTCAAGGTACGCCAGAGTGACCTCCCATCAATGGGAGGTCAATTGAATGTGCATGAAGTTTGTAGTATATTAGAACAGGTCAAAGACAATGCCGAGTTGCAAGCACTTGGATCAAAACCTCGACTCCCAGTTCCTGAGGGACATGACCCAGGTGAGGATCCACGATCTCTAAGTTGCTCATTCATGTTCTAACAGGCGTACCTAGAGCGGCCTCTCGGACTTGATTATCTCACACCAGAGGAAGAGGAAGCATTACAGAACATTGAGGCTAAGAAAATAGTGATTCAAAAACGAATTGAGAGCTACAGTCTCCAATTCCAACTTGTAAAAATGGTAACGGATCGTCGTCCGACCGCTATAAACCACCCCGAAGTCAAAGAAAAAAATCCATGCGGTTACGACAATCGTCTCGCCTTAAACGAACACGAATTTGCATACTGGATGGCCACGCAAGAAGGTCGATCCGCCTTTGAAACAGGCAAACTCGGTCCAAGAACAGAAGAAACATTATCCCTCAGCACCCGCCAATATTCTCCCGAACATCAACAACCTCCACCGCCCGTCTCTGAGACTTTCAACAGCGTGTGTCTCATCAGCACGAAAAAGTGCAGTCGGCATCGGAATTGGCATAAAGTCCATCCGGATGATTGTAGACATATGACGATTGTTCTTAAGAAGGAGCTCGAGAAGTTAAGAGTGCAGGCTAGTGAGATTATCGAGGATGCGGAGATGAGGGAGGCGAGTAAGGAGTACTATGCTCATAATACTGTCGAGCAGTTGTTTTAAGGTCGGTTTGGGAAACGGCGTCTGGGAAGGCGAAATTTGTGGATATACCCAGATCTATTATCTTGATAACACATTGAATCGCACTTTGATAATGAAAGGCTCGAGCCAATCATACATCAATAAGAACTATCACGTGGAATTGTGAGTCCGGTTATGGATTCAAAGACATGAACAAAGGAGTTGGAATGCAGAATGAGGCATATCTTCGTCTTTGTATCAAGATGTCACTCTTCCCCCTAGAATTGTTTGAAAAACGACCACGTTACTCTTAACTATCTGAACTACCTATTAAACCACAACCCACAAAATTTATCTTCAATCAAATTATAACGTAAGTCATCTTCCCTCTCCCCCTTTCCCCATATCTTCCAATCTAACCCCACCCCAGCCAACCCCCAAAATTCACCATCCAACACAATGTCCCCCCTCCTCCACCTCCTCCTTGTCCTCCTCCTCCTCCCCCACCTCACCCTCGCCGACTGCGGCCCCGACTACTGCGGTTTCAAAATAGGCGGGCGATGCTACTGCCTCGGCGACCCGGAAAGCTGTGCGTACTACTGCCGACTCGATTACGGCGATATAGTTGTTTTCATCTTGATGGCCATTGGGCTTATGAGCTTGATCAGGATCGTGATGAGTATTTGGTGGGCGACTGTGGGCGGGTTGTGGTGGATTGTGTGTGCGTTTTTCTGGGTGGTGTTTGGAGGTGGGAATAAGAAGAGGGATGCTTAGGCGATTGAAATATGATAGATTATTTTTTTGGCGCGGGATGTCGCTTTTGAGAGGGAATTGCCGAAGTGAGTTTGTGAGAAGTTGGGTGGGCTGGGCAGTCGACAAAAGGGGGTCTTGCCTCTTCAGTTGGGCATGTGGTTATAAGGATACGAATTGAAGATCTGTGAGGTGAGAAGCAAGATGTAGAATACGATAGGTGAGACCGATGAGTTTTCAAGTGATAGATTAGTGTATCTACTCATACCCCGAACATCCTATTCCCTATGACCAATAACCTAACGATGCCAAACGCCGGTGTAGCCTCAAAACAACCGCCTAATAGTATTATAAGTATAACATCCTTACTCTCCTCCCACCACCCTTCCTCACCCATCACCTCCCACATCTAACTCTCCTTCCCTTTCGCCTCCTTCCCTTTCCCTTCCTTCCCTTTCTCTTCCTTCCCCTTCCCCTCCTTCTCTTTGCGCTCCTTCCCCTTCTCCACCCTCTCCCCCTTCCCCCTCCTCACCCAAACCACCAAAACCAAAACCACAACCCCAATTGTGCCCCAAGACACCACATTCAACCCTACAAACGCACCCCCACAGAACTCTTTACACCCCGTTCCAACGCCGAGACAGTAACAGTCGAGCGTGTTTGCGGGTTTGAGACCGCAGGAGAGGAGTCCGCAGTTAGCGTGTGTGATGTGTGCTGTTGACATGGTGGTGTGATGGGGGTGGGGTGAGTGTGGGTGGAGGCTGGAGAGGGTTAATGGGATGAGGATGAGGGGGAGGGTGGGTGGAGGGACTTACGTGGAGTGTGGTGGTGTTGTTAAGTGATGGAGAGCGTATCAGAGCGGTTTGGACAGAATGATGTTTATTTGACGTACTGTGATAGCAGGACGAGATATCTCTAGGGAAATGGTTAACGGGCGAGCGATATTGATATCTCAATACCAGATATTGGAGTTGCGTCGGCAGGGTGATTTATTACATTCCGATCTGCTTTTAGCTCTTTTCATGTTTCGGCTTTAATACCCAGTCTGTCTCACACTATCTAGTATCCCATTCATAATAAACATCTAGAAGCTCATTATGTCTTCTTTAGACTGAGATAGCAGAAGAGGCAGTATAACAGTGTTTCTCCGCTCCCGGGATTCGAATGACTTTCCGCAGTATAGACGAATTTTTGATTTCAACCATGCTTACTTGTGTATGATACACTTCAACCCTTCCAAACTAACCCGCATTGACAGGGATATATGCTTAGCTATTCCTACAGTCCATCATCCTATACAGCAACCGACGATAATCTAAAAAGAAAACTTTACAAAAACCACAACCAAACCTACGATTCTGTCACTTTTGGAACAAGCCACTTTCGATTTCGCAATTACATCCATAAAACCCCTCATTATATATAGATTGAACCTAGGTTCTTGTGCCTTATGTTCGCAGTGCTATATCCAAGTAAACTTGCAAGTAGATCACAAAAAGCAGAGATTTTGCGGATATAATTGTGATTTACGAAGACTCATTTTTCAAGGTAATGTAGCGAAACAAGAACGCTTTTAATTGGGAAATTAAAGAGACAGATTGTGATTAGATACTCTAAATAGTCTTACTCTAGTATGGGAGCTTTACTAGATGATTTAGTAGGTACAAGCGTCAATGTATTCGTGTTGGGTGAGCTTTAGTGTGAAATCGCGCTTTAGATTTGAGTTGACGCCTACTATTGTGTTTGAGCAGAACTTTGAAATCCTGCAGAGTTCACTGGCTCGTGTGGAAAGTGAGTGCTACTCGAGTTACATCAACGATGAGGAATGTGACTACATTATGCAAGTTCAAGCGAGTCGTAATTCTTTGCAAGAGAATGTTTCCTTGTCTCTAGCTTTTGAAGTCAACTTATCTAGACTTGCAGCGAAGTGATGATCCGATATGGCACAGCTATCCACAAAACGCCTGAAGATGATTTCTCAAAGCAGGATACAAAACGTCGTTGAAAAATAATGTTACATAAATATTACCAAACAATGCCGGAAATTCTATTCTACAGCTCATCTAAAGTCATCCTCCCCTAACCTGTTCTACTTTTTACTTCATTACCAAACCAACAAAACTCCAACCCCAACCACAAACCCGAAGATCTTCGCCCAAATCCTAGTATAACACGACACACCACTATTCTGCATCCCATAAATCACCGCTCCCAGTCCTGTAGTCGTAGGCGTCGCCGACGTTGTCCCCGCAAACACCCCACCCCCCCTCGTAACCGACATCGAAATCTCCACCGACGTAAGACTCGCGCTCGCCAGATCCGTAAGACTCGAAGCTTGCGGCGGTTCTAGCGATACGGTGGTCACTCCACCGCCAGGAATCTGGAATTGTACGCCCTCGTCCGTTAGAGCCACGACTTGATGGCCGGCTAGCGTGGCTAATGGGCCGGAGTGGACGAGTGTTTGGTTGTCTATTATGCATGTTGAGGGGGAGATGGCGGAGAGGGTGTGGGTTTCGCCTGCGACTGTGATGGTTATGGGAGGAAGGGGGTAGGTGAATGTTGGTGTTGGTGTGGGTGCGAAGTTGGGGAGGGTGGAGGTTATGGTGATGCCGTTGTTTACTATTATTACGCCGGAGGGAGAGAGGGAGATGGTTCCTATGCCTGGGATGAATGTTGCGGGGGCGTTGAGGGTGAGGGTTTGGCCGTTGAAGACTGTTGCGAGTGTGAAGAGGGGTTTGGTGGGGTGAGGAAGGGCTTTGGTGGTTGTGATGCCGTTGTTTATTATTACTATTCCTGAAGGGGAGAGGGAGACTACGCCTTCGCCGGGGATGGTGATGGCTGGGCTGCCGACGGTTAGAGGTTGGCCGCTGTATACTGCTGTAGGTGCAGGTACTGGGGCCGCAGCTGGGATGGCATATGTTGAAGTTGCATCGTTGTGTACTACTACAAGACCCGTTGGTGCGAGGCTCATAACTCCATGACTTTCGACTGTGATTGCGGGTCCGTTAAGCGAGAAGGTATGAGATCCAACTACAACGTTTTGAGCTCCAGGAGCGGCGCTGATCACATAGCCGTCCTGAAGTGTCGCAATAGGCACTGGTGTCGTTACCGGCGTTGGTGCTGGAACATTCGGATCGTTATTTGGAGGGGCAATCAGTGTAGGAGAAGACGGAGCTGCTAACTGCTGAGTGTTTGAAGCAGCTGCTGGTACCACAATGTTGGCTGAAGATACAATAGCGGGATTGTTATTTGGTTGATTACCTGTCTGAGAGTTGGGGTCATTATTGTGGGGATTGTTGACTGGTTGATTTCCCGGCTGCGAATTGGGGTCGTTATTTTGCGGATTATTCGCTGGCTGATTGCCTGGCTGTGAGTTCGGATCGGCTGGTTCAGGTCCGTCATCTTGGGGATTATTAGCTGGCGGATTCCCTGTCCAATCGTCGTCGTCGGGGTCTGGACTTGGATCCGGAACAGATTCGCCCAAAGTAGCAGTGGGAGTAGGACCTGGTAGTGGAGCTCCTTGTCCTGGCTCTGCAGTAGGAGATGATCCCTCCGAATCATCATCGTCATCGTTAGGAGCAGGTGGTTCCGTGATTTGCGGTGGTGGTGGTGCTGCAACTACAGTATCTGCTCCATGGTTTTTGCAGTCTTTCGCTGTACATGGTAAAACTGGCACAGGAGGGTCAAATATGCCGAAATTTCCACCAAACATCCTCGCACCACATTTCCTTGGCCATGGTATTCTGCGTTTGAAATTAGAGTGAACAAGATTATATATAATTCGGTGGAAAAAACCTACTCTGTATGACCTTTGAGATGAATCAGATCTGTTCTCCATTCTAAAATAGGGTTACATCGTGGATCGTAGTTTTTCTCTTGTACACGGTTACGCCATGGTACTTTCTTAACCGTAGCGCAGTCGTCTGCGAGATCATTCAAGTGTAACCGTCTACCAGGTCCGATTCTAGTATTGTTTCGTGTCAGGCTACCTTGTTCGTTGGTATAGTCGTTACCAAATGGTTGAAGAGTTGTGACTTTCGTTATTGGATACGAAGTCACGTAATTAGCTACATGACCCCATTCCCGGCGCGGCGTATTGCATTTGTCTACAGCAACCATAGTGTTTATAACATAGTATAAAGACGGAGATACCCTATAAAATGCCTTAGCTAGATATAAGGCACAGTAAGAACGTTAAACGTACATTGTAACACCGAGTTCTGGTATAACACGTTTTGTAGGATAGGTGTGATTACGGGTGACAGATCCGGTGGGCCAATAATGCAGCTGCACAGTACCAATTGATCTACGCAAGTCAGCACAATTATTTTTAGATATGAATTCAAGCTTCTCACACGCGACAATATGTCTTCGACTTTGGATTCTTAAAATGTGTACAAACGTTGGTTTCGCCATAATAATACCGCACGCCCTTCTTAGCTGAAGTGGACGACTTGCGTGTGGCGAGCGGGGAAGATTTTGAAGTAACTTTCGTGGTAGAAACAATTATTTTAGTGATACTAACAGAAGAACTGGCTTTCTTCAACGCTGAGATTGAGATTTCCGTGCTAGATGAATGATCGGACGAGCTTGAGGAGCTTGACGAGCTTGATGAGCTCGATGAGGAGGATATGGTCGCATGACTGGTTGTTGAGGATGAATGTGCACTGCTTGAGGACGAAGCTGTTGTCTCCGATGTTGACGATTCGCTCGTCTTTCGATAGACTGGCAGTGACGATGATGACGATGAAGATGTGGAGGTCGTTGTCGAATGTGATGTCGATGAGGATGAGGATGTCGATGAAGAAGAGGATATTGAAGAAGAATAAGAGGATATCGATGAAGAGGAGGAGGATATCGATGAAGAAGAGGAAATCGATGAAGAGAAGGATGTCGATGAAGAGAAGGATGTCGATGAAGAGGATGATGTCGATGAGGATGATGATCTCGACGAAAGAAAGGTGGAGACCGAAGTTGAACTTGTTTCGATAGTGGTTCCATTCAAGAAATCCCTAACAGCCAATACTTGTGGAGGTATTGCTACTTGAAGTTATGACTAGAACTTCCTAAGCACCAGAAGTGTAACTAACCATATACCAACCCTCCAGGTAGCACCAACAGCGCCCACAGTGACAGCCCTGTCGTCACCAACATGATTGCCAGCTAAGTTGTGAAATAACGACAACTGCTGTTGTTCGGTCGTATTTATGAACTGGAAAAACGGAAATCATCACGCTCTTTTCGATTTATGATTGACATGAGAGAGTGTCGAAGAAATCCTCCATCGATACCTGATTCAGGGCAACCACAGTGTTTTTACCATAGCCTCAGTCGCGACTGTGTAACCGCCGCAGTAATCACCCCGAGGTCCCAGACAGCTCTTTACTGTATAAGGTCTTTAATTTGGGCTGGGCTAAGTTGCCATTTTGGGAGAGCCAGAATAGCATCCAACCATATCATTGTACAGCGAAGCACCACATGCTGTAAATGCCAGGAACACTATCCATGGTGCTGCAGTACGTCGAGTTACTCTGGACCTGTTTTGGGGCTGCCACATGCGACCATGGCGAAGCCGCATGTAGCAGTGCACGCTTGCAGCAGACTCGTCGGTGCCAAGTTCATATTCATATGAATGACCTTCCGGTTAAACTTCTGCCTGCTGGTATTGGCGAAGTGTGCAAGAATCGAGACGCAGGAGCGAATAGCAGCACAGAAACCAGAGCTGAACTGCTGGAGTGACCACCCATGGAGGGGAAAATGCAGCTATGCTTGCAGAAGGGCGGAAAGTAGTTCAGCCTCATTCTCTTGGACGTTGAACGTCTTTTTCTCTTCGCTTGAACACGAGTGAAGCATCATTCGAATCAGATGGTATGATCGTCAAATGTCGTTGTCGTTTTAAAATTAGGCCAATTCAAACGGCAATCTATTCTGCTCATTTAATCCCAAGCAGTCGTGATGAGGTTGAAATTTTGAGGTGTTGGTTTGGTTGATGGCGAAAGTATTCGCCCCCAAGAAATAGATGTGGTGGCTTGACTGTGCCTCTCTGGGGACAAGGACCACTGAGGTTGATATATGCATGTAACCCCTCGTCGTTACACCATCGGTCTCCTCGATATCCTTGGTCGTTGAAGATCCAATACACGCACACGAACTGTCGCCGGACTTGGACATTGAGTTGTTCAGGGGTAATTATTAGGTTTAGCCTTTAGTCAAGTGCTATTTCTCAGATCAAGCTGAGTCTCATCTCCAAATAGTTGTATCAAGCCGACAGCCCTGTTTTTCCACGTTTCTTACCGTCCTCCTCAAAATGAGATCGTGGCTGAAATAATGAGTCGTGATGAATTTTGTGCGTTGCAGTTTTGCAGTCTCATACCTGGTCTCTCTTGCGATCGCACCCATTCCTCCATCAGTTCAATCGATTGATCCCCGAGCAGCGTCGCCGAACACCACTCTCACACCAATCGTTGTTCCTGTCAGCCAGTACTTGTGAGTTACGAACTTTCACTCCCATACGACCCCAATTGACAACGTCTAGTGATGGCGACGATGGCGAGTGGAGCACGATCATTATCCGTGTTGGAAACCCGGAGCAAAGTGTGAGAGTTTTTGTATCCACGAACTCACCGATAACTGGTGTTGTGGAACCTGGAGGGTGTGAAATTGAGGCAATTCCCAGAGGAGTACCCGATGATTGTGCCAACTCTAGAGGACGCACGTTCAACAGTAACTCGTCTTTAAGCTGGTTTTGGCAAGGCCAATCCACGCTCAATGGGGGTAATGGCGTAGGCTTCGAAGCGAACTTAGGGTACGACTTTTATCTTGATTATGGCCAAGACACCATAGCACTAGGCTTTCAGGATGGTCCCGATTCTGTAAGGTTGACGAATCAGACAGTCGCAGCTTATACTCGGCCAAGACCTCTCTATGTGTAAGTTTAATATTCATTCCATGAAAATGTAACTTTACTTACTTCTGTAGGGGCTTCTTCGGTATTGGAACCGAGCGTGTAATTTATGGAAATTTTGGTAACTACTCGGGGCCTTCGTTCTTCAAACAGCTGGCGATTGACCGTAAGATCCCCAGCCTAAGTTGGAGCTATACTGCTGGGGCAAGATATCGTAAGTTGACCACTCTTGATAAGGTCTATACTCACATTTACTCAGAACTGGCTGGAGGTCAATACATGCAGCTGATATTTGGTGGGTACGATACCTCGCGCTTTATACCCAATAACGTCCGCTTTACACTTGGCGCCGATGTCACTAGAGATATTGTCGTTGGTGTTCAGTCCATCTTGTTCACTGGAACAAATACTACACCGCTATTGCGGAGTCCAATATACGCATTCGTGGAGTCAACTGATCCTAATATATGGCTGCCTATGGAGGCGTGCCTGTTGTTTGAAAAAGCATTCGGTTTAACTTGGGACAACTCGACTTCCAAATATCTACTAAGCGACAACCAATATAACGTTCTATCGAAATCAGATCCGAAGGTGACCTTTCGGCTTGCGGTCAGTACAGTTGGAGGCACGACAGCTGACATCACACTGCCATTTCGGGCTTTTGCACTTCGTGCAAAGTACCCTTACGTTCAAAACGCTACCTATTATTTCCCTCTTCAAAGAGCTAACGACTCTTCACAATACACTCTGGGACGAGCGTTTCTCCAAGAAGCTTACTTGACCGTCGATTATGACCGGAGGAATTTTACTCTGAGTCAATGTATATTTAATCAAGGAGCGACTCCCGATATTCTTCCAATCTATAGTCCAACAACCAACAACGGAAGTGGAAATGGAACCGAAGACGTATCGAATGCATCCACTCGTAACTCGCAAGGACGACATACAACCACCATAGTCGCTTCGGTCGTTGTTTCCGTTCTTGTGATTATTGGTGGCGTAGGCTTGTGGCTCTGGAAGAAACGAAAGGATAAGAAGAAAAGGGATTCAGATCAAACCCCCGCACGGGCAACGGGACCAGCGGCGCCAGTAGAACAGGGACCGGTCGAAAATATTGACCTAAAAGGATACTATAAGCCTGAACTAGATAATAGAGGTGAACTGTATGAGGTTCCGGGGACAATCGTGGATGCTTCAGACGACATAGGACCAGCAGAACTCCACGGCCACGGTGCAGCACACGAGCTCGTTGGCAGTCCTGTTGAACGCACTAGGGATTCGGAAGCTATGTATCGAAGAGTCTCAAGCCCTCTACCAAGAGCGCTTGAGCGGAAAGCTGTGTCTGCTCCCGTGAGTCCGTTATCACCACCAATACCGCAATCATCTTTTAGACAAGGGCGTTAAATTTAGCATTACTATGTGTGGAGTGTAGAAGGATTTTTAAGATGGATCGCTTCGGAGCATCGAGGTCCCTGTAACATTCAGCATAGATTGTAGGATTAACATAGATAGCAATAGACATGTTTGGCTCAATGTCTGTTCAGACTCTTACCGACAGGTCGACAGCTACCAATATAGATGTCACAATAATCTTGCGGCCGCATGCGATACGCAACACAACTTCGTGAGACCTGTAAGTGGCTTGGTTGACTTTCCGGTTCCTACGGAGTTTGGTCTCTTTAATGGGAAAATTGCGGCCGCAACCAAAAGCGAAATGCAACAAAGCAAAAACTCGAACCGAAACGGCAATCCAAACACGAATATACGGAGCACATGCCAGATCAGAGCGCCAATTTGGAGATGTGTGACCAACGTCACGCTGTGGTGGCCCGATCAAAACTAGACTTAGACAAATCGCAAATGACAACCAACCCCAGTATTGTACAGTGCGAAAGAATGGGATTTGGAGAACGGATCGGCCACTGAAGTTGGGTAACCGATTGAGGTGATACTAGCACGAACAGAGTAAGCGCACCAAAGTCGATATGTTTTGAGGGACGGCTTGCTTGGAAGGCATAGCAACTCGATATAGCCATATTAAGGGACCGGATAATCAAGTGATCCAATCTCAGTCTGCGGCCGCACAGAGAACTGGCTCGCATCAAAACAAACTGAAGCGGGCTCGCAAACGGTGCGACCATCCAACGGATGCTGACATTTCCGAGAAGAAGCCCGCCGCCAACAGTACCGATGAAGGAAAAGTCGAGAAATTTGCGGCCGCCGCGATATGCAACAAAGCTTTTGATCCAAGTCTTTGCAAATACACCGCATCTCAAAGATCCTGATAGATGCCATGCTTGTGAGGGGATGAGACTCAAAACTGTCTCCATGTACGGACCCGGCTTTGAGAGTGCTTGTAACTAGCAGCTAACTACGCCTTTTCGTAACTTTCTTATGTCTGGACATCCAAATGTCAAACTGGTATTGCAGCAACAAATCACATTTGACTTTATAGATGCCAATATATGCTCATACAGATAAACATGATAATGGAATACCACAAGAGCATAATCAGAGTAAAGTGACACTATGACAAGAGAACTCTCTAACCATATCATCAAACAACCTTGAAAATATTGTTTCACAGCTTGCCCAGAAGCAAGCTTGGCGTGCAATATTGCAGTTGTATCGTCCATTACGAACCGCTTCCTTCAGATCAATGATTCCAGAGCAGTAGATACAGGACGAGATATTCGTCTGCCGTCCGACATCGAGATTCCTACTGAAAGGTGCCTCACATACTCAACTCTGTGGAGACAGGCAAAGTTGCGACTTGGTCAGACGGTTGAGGAGAGAAGAATTTCATCGCCAAAGGATTTTCAAGTCACTGGAGGTTCGGAGCTAAGTTCGCTTTGGGACTAGCGTCGAGCTAAGAACTAAACCCACTTGAAACCCACGACACGAGCTTTTTCTTCTCGACTTTTACAACATGGAATCTTTGAGCGACACCAGATGGGATGTCGTGATATCGGGTACAGGACTGCGGCATTCGCTGCTAGCCTTGTAAGTTTATATCATCTAATGTTTGCCTACCATATCTGACTGACCTAGCAATTTTTGAAGAGCTCTATCCCGCTCCAATAAAAAGATATTGCACGTCGACGAGAATGATTATTATGGCGGCCCTGAAGCTGCTTTTAGCTTGCAGGAAGTTGATGAGTGGGTAGAGGAGCTCGGGAAAGGTTTGTCTTCTCTCTGGTGGATCACTTACACATGCAGCTAACTCGCAGCCAGCTCCCACGTCGACACTCTTCCGAAATGCAAGCATCTGGAAGTCCGAGGAGGAAACGTCAACAGACTCACCAACGCTCTCATTCTCACGGGCATACACCCTCACACTGTCACCTCAAATCATCTACACCAAGTCGAAACTTCTCTCGCGGCTTGTATCGTCAAAGGTTTACCGCCAGCTTGAATTTCAGGCAGTGGGCAACTGGTGGATCTACAACGCCGAAGAGGCAGTGCTGAAACGCTTGCCCAACGGAAGAGAGGATATATTTCAGGACAAAAACATCGATAACAGAGCCAAGCGTAATCTTATGAAGTTTCTGAAGTTTGTTGTCGACTATGAGAATCAAACAGATGTTTGGGAAGCCCAATCTGAGAGCGGCCTGGATATCTTTCTCTCTTCGAAATTCAACTTCCCTGCTCATCTGCAAATCGTCATCACAGCACTGACTTTGTCGCTCGCACCACCGAGTGAGACATCGGTCAAGTGGGCTCTTCCACGAATTGCACGGCACTTGACATCCATTGGCCTCTTCGGACCGGGATTCGGTGCTGTTGTGCCAAAGTGGGGTGGGGGGGCAGAGATATCACAAGTTGCGTGTCGAGCTGGCGCAGTCGGGGGTGGCGTATACGTTCTTGGTACCGGCATTGAAAATGTGAAAGTTGTCGAAGCTGAAGATACAGAATCCCCAGCGTTTCACTTAGCCTTGTCAAATGGCGAGGCTGTCGGTACCAAGCTTTACGTCCACGAAGCCACTGACAAAGACAATGGCGGAATCACGACAGTCTCGAAAGCCATCTCGATCATCTCATCCTCAGTACCATCTCTGTTTCGAAGCACCGTTGAAGGCTCACCGCTTGCAGCAGTGTCTGTTGTCGTCTTCCCACCAATGTCACTTCAGATTGCAGATGGTATCCAATCCGATCCCGTCTATATCATGGTTCACTCGAGTGAAACAGGTGAATGCCCTGCTGGCCAAAGTAAGTACTAAATCCCTTCTTAAGTTTCTAGCACCGCATTACATGATGAACAAACCTTTTGAATACTTATCTACATTGTCTGATTTACCTTGACGATAATACACCTCTGACATTCTGAATAATGCTTTACTTCTACACGTCCTTTTAATCTCTTGCGTTGTGTCAGCCTCGCTAATCACAGTCAGGCGTTCTATATTCAACGACCAAATCCTCCAGCCTCAGTAAGATTGTATTGCAGGCAGCTCTCGAAAGTCTGATGAATAGAGTCCCCAACCAGGGCAAGCTGCTTTACACATTGTACTATGAGCAAACAGCACCATCTGGATCGCCACTCGACCTTTCTTTCGATGATCAGCTGCTCGAACAAGTCGAAGCTCAGTGGCGTGAGGTCATGGCAGAAAAAGCAAACGAAGAATCATTCATGCAATTCGAGGAGAGAAAGGGCATGGAGGCTGAAGAGGAAGACGATAATGATTATTGATTGTGATTTGTTTGGAGTCTGGGAGTGACGTCTTCGGACAGGCGTTTGTTTAAACCAAGGACTTGCCACAAATTTAAATCACCTAGTCTTACCTCACTGTGCCATCAGAATCGTTATCCACAAATGCTTGACTTCATATCATCACCTCCAATTTTCTTGCATGTAGATTCTGTCGGTGCCTTTGTTTTCCTTCCGACTACTGAGAATTCTGGATAGCTACAAAAGCTACATACATCTATATCAGCACTCTCCATTGTTCAGCATTTCATAATACACTATGGCTCTTTGATTTATCCTTCGTTGAACTCTTGAAAGAATACTTATTAGAAAGAAATCGCTAATCACAAGGATCTTGACCAGATAACTCAAAGTGAAAGCTTTTTCCAATTCTGTATATTAGTTTTGAGTATACATCTATCTACATCACAAGTCATTATCAAGGAACTTACGAGTTCTAGAATTCTCATTTTCTGGCTAATCTGCCGCGCAACCCTGCGGTCTGTTCGACACTTGTTGGCACAGGTGATGGAATAAGTAACATAAGAGAACATTCATACACAGGGGCTTAAAATTTTCAATGAGGAGGCTTTGGTTAAATGCATACACTGTCCGGGGGGGATGTTGTAGCGAGCGCTTGGAAGGATGAATTGTTGGGTCTATAGACAGCAAGAGATGAGCCTCAAGAATGACTTCAAGTTGGGCCCTTTTCAGCTTCATATTGGGTTTTGTTGAAGATCTCTAAGCGCCCACTTAACCAGCCGGATTTCCTTCGAGATAACGGGTTTGTGCTATTGCATAGTACATCTGTTGGTCGAATATGCTTTTGAAACCCCCGTATATTTTAAAATATATGCACCAAAGCACCAGCGAACGCAACGAATGTATTAGCTGTAGACCGATCCGTTAGGACATCCCATTTAGTAAGGCGAGTACCGGCTCGCGATGCTCTTTCTCTTTAAATGTTTGATCCACCGCGCGGCTACATCTCTTCGTATAGAAAAGTCAGCATGCCATCGGCGCATGTATTGCCCCCCGATATAGCCAATCAATCCACGCGAAATGTTGGAAACCAACATCAAATCTCCTGGAGACGATAAGGGGAATAATAATATCGCAAGATGATTTTTGCTCTGTCGTCGGTCAAGATATCTTGCTTATTGAACGGCGATTGTTGTTATCCACAGAATCGCTGAAATCCAGTCATCGACTCACTCGCATCGACTCACTCTCAGCGCCCTGGAGACAAGCTGGTTAGGCATGCATCGCGAGACGATTCGAAAGCCATTGCTTTTGGCTATCTATCATGGGGTTTGGTGAGCAGAGAACGAGTCTGGACTCGAACGACCACGATACCATGGAGCTCGGCGAGCAAGGGACTAGGCTACTAGATGACCACGAGAGACTCGATTTCGCCGACAACGAACAGGATTTGGATCATAATGCTTTCTCGAACGGCAAATTCAAAGAAACGCAGCGGATAGGTTGGCTCAAACGGAACCGGCGAGACTCATATTTGCGAGACCTGGTGGTCGCCGTCGTTGTCGGTGTACTCTGTGGCGCCTTGGGATATACAGTCGGGTTCTGGACAGAAAGGAGTCCTGGGAGAGCGCTGCGGCCAGATGTCAATATCGTTCCTCTCCGTGTTTTGGTCGCTGGCGACTCCATATCACAAGGTCTCGAGTCGATGCACACATGGCGCTATCGACTCTGGGAGTGGTTCCAGGCGAACAATGTTCCCGTCACGTTCGTTGGTCCATTCCGTCAAACGCGACTCCAGCCACTGGATCTGTCCGTAGGAGTTCCCTTGCCAGCTCCTCGTAATAGCGATGAACTCAACGGGCCTAACGCTATGGACCATGGCTATGCGTTCGATGTCGAGCCCGAGTTCCTTCGCACCGGGAGCGCTCACTTCTCCATCTGGGGTCGAGAAGTCGCGCAGAATATCGATATCATCAGTCGACAAATCCAGGAGTACCGTCCGGACTATTTACTTATCGAGCTTGGATTCAACGATCTCGCGTGGGGATCGCGTCAACCTGATGAAGCAGTACTTCTCATGGAGCAGTTTATAGGGAAAGCGCGAGAGATGAGCCCGGAACTTCGTTTCGCCGTGGCGAACGTCCCACAACGGAGTAAAGTAGGAGATCTTGACATTCGAACAGGACAGTATAATGAGAAATTGCGGGAAGCAATTCCCAAGTGGTCGCGGCCTGGTTCGCCGGTGGAGTTGGTCGAATTTATGGAAGCATATTCATGTAAGCTAGTCTAGCGCTTGCATATCATACCCCAAACAATAAGCTAATGATTTATTCTAGGCGGTCAAACGAACTGCCCAGCCGCTTTAGACGGAATTCACCCCAATAGCCAAGGAGAATTCGAGATTGCACATGCATTTAGCAAAACGTTATACCATAATTTCGGAATAGGACAGCAGCCGCTTGCGCTTCCAGTCGAGTTCCCCAATCGAACTTGTGCAACTCCTGCGGGTGTGGCGATTTATCCTAGCCAAGAACGTACCCGATTCGCTTGGGACTTTGTGTATGGCGCGTATGGCTATGAGGTTCAAGCGCGGCAGGAAGGCGTCGCGTGGGTAATGGATGCTGCGAACTTTACGCAAGAACGACATTTAGATGCTTCTTGGATGAGTGAGGGAACTGCGTCGGAGTTTAGAGTGAGATCGTATTGCGAGTCCACTGTCAAATCGGCGTGGACCAACGCGACGTTGGCTATTATGCCGTAAATTAGACCCTTTTCACTACCTGCGTGAGAAAAATAAATATTATGACAATAATGGATAGATTATACTAAACTTATCAAGAATCTGCTAAAGATTGTACAACAAAAGAATCTAAGCATGTTCTTGAAAATAGGTGCCCAGCGGTCACGGGACTTTCAACCTAGGTAACACACATTCTAGACAACCGATGCGGGCCGATTTATCGGGGCTCGGAGGACAGCGGGGCTTCTACTAGATCAGATCAGGTGTAGCTTATCGGCCCTGATAACCAAGCTCCGGCTGCAGCTCAGGAAAAAATTAAAACATCGACGGCAGAAAATAGCAGCGTTCACCTAATCCGCGACATTTGCGATTACTCCTCAGAATTTTGTCGCACAACAATTCGGTTTCCAGAAAAACTTCAGGATGGCGCCTGCTTCAAATGCGCTGACGTTGAAGGCCGAAAATGGCACTCCATACCAGCTCAGCCATGATCAGGTAGGTTCGATACAATCAATCGCTCTCGCAGGATGCTAATTTGATCCTAGGTTCTGAGAGCCTCAAAGGCACTTTTGGTCCATGTCAAGAAAAGCGAAAAAGAAGAGAAAACGTCCGATGGCAAGAAATCTCTACTCGAAGATGACGAAGACGACGATATTGCCGCGCCAATCTGGCTCAACCTGGCAACTAAGAAGCATATTGTGGATAAAAAGCGTTTAAAGCCTAGCAAGATTGCTCTTCCTCATTCCCTCAACACTTCCGAAAATACCAAGATCTGTTTGATCGTCGCCGACCCTCAACGAAAATATAAAGACATTGTCGCAGACCCCGCGTTTCCTGCGGAATGGGCTTCAAGGATCAGTAAGGTTGTTGGAATTAAAAAAATCAAGAAGAAGCACAATACGTTCGAAGCGCAGAGAAAACTCAAGGCGGAGCACGATATATTCTTAGCGGATGATCGTATTATTGTTGCGTTGCCAAAAGCGCTTGGAAAGACATTTTACAAGGGCACCAAACGACCAATTCCAGTTTCACTTACGGGGTCTTCGCCTAGAACAGATGCCAAACTCATAGCCGCTGCTGGTGCTGCCGATACTGCCGGTACTGCCGGTACTGCCGGATCGAAAAGGCCGGAAGGAACACCGCAAGAAATCGCCAAACAAATTAAGGCTGCGTTGGATGGGACTTCGGTGTACCTCTCACCTTCGGCGTCGACATCAGTGAAAGTCGGGTACTCCAATTGGGATGCGAAGAAACTGGCCGAGAACATTGAGGCTGCTGCGAATGGATTGATTGAGAAACACGTACCGCAAAAATGGAGGGGAGTTAAGTCGTTACATGTCAAAGGGGAATCAACAGCAGCACTACCGATCTGGTTAGCGGACGAACTCTGGGTTGAAGAGGGTGACGTTGTCAGCGAGGAGAAATATACTGAGGTTGCCAAACCAAATGTCGGCAAGAAGAGGAAGAATATTGAAGCAGTCAGCGAAGAGAAGGTCGAGAAAGTAAAGGCGCCAAAAAAGCAGAAGCTAATTGAGAGTAATGATGACAACCTGGATAAGGAAATTGTGGCGAGGAAGGAAAAGTTAAAGAAGCAGAAGGAAGAGGCTGCTATGGATGTGGTTGATGAGGTGCCAAAGGCTTCGAAAACTAAAAAGGTTAAGAAAGCAAAGGTAGCTGCGGAATAAGCACTTTTCGGATATGATACTTTCATGCATACCTAGGCGTCTTGGAGTCTGGAGAAGGGAAGGAGAATTTCACTGTTTGCAATATCAACATGAGCTTTGCTGTCTCAGGCAGTCATTTATGTCAGGCTGAGTACAATTGTTGTGGATCTCAATGTATAGTTCATGATTGTAACCATTCTTCTCATTGAGGAATACGTATAATTCAAACGCCAACCCTAACCCATCCTTAAAAATTACATATCGGTGTGCCTCGTAACATAGTCATACGCCGCCTCCTCCCAACTCTTCGCAAACTTCTTCCCAAACGGTCCATAATTCTGCTCAAACACCGTCTTCAACAACTTATCAGTCAACTGCATATGTCCCCCCTCCGTCGTCTCAAACTTCAAAGCTCCCTTCTTATCCAAACTCTTCAACCCAATCCAATCCTCCTTATACAACTCCCGATCCCTCAACAACGTAACCTGCGTCCCATTGACCTCCGAAAACCACCCGGACTCCTTCGGAATCACAGTCGTATCATCCTCAAAGATATACATCACAAACCTCTCAAGCTTCTCCATATTCTCCTTATACGTCTGATTCTTCAACACCCGCTCATTGTTGATATCAGCCAGGAAATTCGAATACAGCAGGTAATCATCGTATTGTAGCGGATCGCGAAAGTACTGCGCGGGAACTAATCGGTTCTGTACGAAACTCGACCAGGTGTTTGAGCGTAAGAGGCCTTGTGCGCCTTTGCAGAGCCAGTCTGTAGTTCCACACGCTTGGAACTCTGAGATCCCGTTATGTTGGCTTCCAAACGTTACTAAACTCCTCACAGGCGGACTATTACATCGCTCGATATATCCTCTCAGAAACTGGCCGCCCTGCGAGAAACCAAGGGCATCAACAGCCGGCGCGGTAGATAGGATAGGATGCGCGGCTATATCAGCGCATACGCTCTCCAGCTGAAGCGTCAGGTTTCCGAAGAACGTCGCGCGTTGGTCTGCGTTCGGGTCGTCCCCGAGTCGGATTATGTAGGTGAGGGTTCCTGGGTTTATTTCTTCAGCCAGTTCAGCGACGGAGGCGAGACCTTCGCCTGCGAAGTTGTCGCCGAGACCGTGCCAGATTATGAGGGGGAGGGGAGTGTCGCTCGTGTCATCGGTGTTGGAGAGTTGCTGCTGGTTTTGGTTGGGGATGAGGGGGATTATGGAGGTGAGTGCTACGCTTGATGCTGCGAGCAGAAGCGAAATGGATGTTATGGGCGCCATGATGTTGTTGATACTTGCTTGAGGTCGAGGGGCGACGACGAGGCTATGAAGCTGAGAGCTCGAGCTCGAGCCGCCCGAGGTCTCCACAATAAAGTCATCTTAACTCCGAATCTCTGTTGGATAAACATATGGCGTAGATTTCCTAACCGCCACTCTCAACTCTCCCTGCTAAGTATCTTTTTCTCCTATCTGTACATTTTCTCACAATGGTGTTTCGTAAGGATGAGCTCGAGATCCAGCTCAAAGATGAGCATAAGATGATTCAGGACGGTAAGATCAGAGATGATAGCCCTCTTGACGTCAGTGACGAATTTGGGGCGCTCTGTAGAGCTTGTCGTGTTGGGGATTTGAAGGGCTGTCAGGAGGCTATTGCTGCGGGCGTTAATATCAATGCTAGAGATAGTTTTGATTATACGCCGTTGATATTGGTGAGTCAGAAGGATTTCATATCTGGTCTGCATCTATTTAATAGCAGAACCCCTCAATTACCCCACGCCTCGATGTATTGATACTTTATATATGCTGGTATAAAGATAAACATACATCGATGTGATCGCGGCTAGTTGTTTGGTTCTGGAATGTCTCTTTTAAATGGGAGAACACGAAGTTGACGGTGCTGGTTGACAGGAGACTGATTCGGCTTAGGCGTCCCTTTGCGGACATTACCAAGTTGTTCAACTACTTCTCGAAGCGGGGGCTCTTTGCGAACGAGATACGTTCCAAGGCGAACGTTGTCTTTACAATGCGCTCAATGACCGTATACGAAATCTCTTATTACAATACGATTACTCCAAGAGTACCGATCCTCTCCAACCTTTTGCCTCCCATATAAGCTCGCTCCTCACCAGACCCGTTCCAAAAACTTCAGATATAGCCTTGAATACAGCTACCTCGTCATGGAATCTGCACAAGTTTATACTCTCTGCGCGATCACCATATTTTCAGAAAAAGCTAGCTGCTGCGCCAGAGACGGCCATGTGGAAACTTGCAACGATACCAAATGAAGCATACCAAGTGGCAATACAATATTTATATCTCGGAGCTGTTCCAACCGATCTCGGCATAATCAGCGAAAGCTCGGCGAATCTGGATCAGGTTCTGACAGGAATCGACAAGGTTAGCAAACAGCTTGGCATCGAGTCGCTGTGGGAAAGCATTTTATCTGGAAACGACAGAAGGTTAGCAAGGCAACGGCATCAGGATGAAGTTACTGCCGGTAGAGATCAGATTGAGCGCTGGTATCGCTCGAATGTTCTGAAATACAAAGTGGAAATCGATACGAGCAAGGCTCAAGATGTTAAATGGACACGAGATAATGGAATATTTGCGGACGTATTGCTACGGGCTGATGAGGAGTCGGAGGAACAAACCAAGTCAGAAGAGGATACGTCGAAGACAAGGAATACTTCCGGGTTATTAAACGGCATCCCAATTGGCCCCGCCATGTCCTCGCGATCTCCTTCAACATCCAGGAAACCGAAGAAATCGGTCCTGTTTCCTGTTCATCGAGCGATGCTTATCAGATCTGAATACTTTCAAACGATGTTTAGCTCCGAATTCATGGAAGCTCAGGCGACCGAGTACCTTCAAATTATACTAGTAGACTGCTCTCCAGAAGTGTTAGAGATCATCCTCAACTATGTATACACAGAAAAAGCGGAAAATATTCCCATTGACTTAGCGATTGATGTTCTTTTTGCGGCGGATATGTTATTCATCGAGAAGTTGAAGACCAAAGCAGCGATTGTTATTAGCACTATTGGAAACGGTCCGACCAGTTTAGTAGACAGAACTCATACCGAAAACGGGGAGCAAGAAGTTGAACAGATTAATGTTTATGATGTCATTCGAGCTGGATGGCTTTTGAAAATTCAGAGGCTAGAGGAGTTCAGTGCGCGGTACCTTGCGTATCGATTGGAGGAATATATCGATGAAGAGGAGTTTGAGGAGCTTATCAAAGAGAGTGCTGGGCGTATTGAAAAGCGGCAGGAGACTGATACTATCGAGTTGTTGGATGAGTAAGTAAATCCCGTAATCATTTTTGTTACACTGTTAATAAATCCTTGTAGTATCCGATACTACCTCTCCGAGCGCTTTCGCTTACGGTTCGAGGATTCTGGTCTCGAGGATATCATGGACGAAGACGGAGAAATCAATGCCGAAGCTGTTCAAGCTATTTCAGACAGTGCCGCAAACGACGAGGCTATCGATGTGGAAATGCCTAAGCTTAGCAAAGCTCTCGGCGATTTGAATGTCGACAACGAGCAGAATCCGTCTCAGAAAGATCCAGCTAGCGATCCGCCTATGCTCCCAGCTGGTGTCCGAACTTTAGATGGCGAGATCGCGGGCGATGAGTTTGCGGCTGATGCTATTAATTATCAGGTTTTGTTGGGGAAGATAGATACGCTGTTAGAGAGATTGAAGTTAGACGCTTAGAAATATAGAGTGTTTGAATCACAACAGGTGTCTTTTGATATTTCGCTGCAGAACCAGGTCATTGCTCTAGCATACTCTTGCAAAGGAAGATCAAGTTGTTTTTTGTATGTGTCAGTCATAGTCCCTATGCTTATAAAGTTGTAGGCCCCTCCTGAAGGTTAGGGCTATGCAAGCTAGGTCGATGTCAGATGACGGATGTAAGGTCAAAATCTCTTCTGTCCCCCTGACAAATAGCCGGTAAACATAAGAGAAGGTAAAAACATCCTCTAAAAGTTCCACCAGGAACCACTAAACTAAACATCAAAATAGCATCCGAACTCTACCAGCCGAAAATCCTCTCCTCTCGCATGTCACAATCGCAGCCTCATCTTATTGTTCACAAACTCCATCCCTCACTAAATTTTCCACTCACATTTGATTTTGTTGCACATCGCATCGTCTGCTCCTTCCTATTCCGCACTCCTAAGTTCCGAGACCCTTATATCAAATCCAGCATCAGCCAGTCAGCCCGGCGTTTTTTCGCTTATTATTACTGCTCTGCTGTACCGTACCTAAATGCTTTCACCGAGGCCGGTGCATGCAGAGCGGATTAGGGAGGAATAGACGAATATTTCGGAAGCGGAGAGGTCAGAGTTTTGGTCGCATGAGGGAAGGAATGATTGGAGAGGGGTTTGCAAGTAGTGGTTGTGATGCAGGTTAGTGAGGTGGTTGGGAGTCGCATGAGGAGAAGTGGATGGATAGGGGAATTTTAAGCGAGGAGAAGCGAGGGGTGAGGTTTGGGAGGTCCGATTGTTTACATTACATAGGATAAGTGGTAGGTTTGTTTATTTGTAAATCAGGTGATTTGTTTGCTTCTATGCGATGAGGGATATTTTATCTGTTTATTATTTATTCGTCTATTGAATCTCTTCTTAGAGAAGGAACTACCCAGACCCCCCATAACTCAACCACACCCATTAAACTCCCAAAATGTATCCAAAACCAATACATATCGTTCTAGTAAGCGATAGGATGAATAGAACTTCTGTTTATCATCTATTCGTCGGTGGGAATCTTAATTCTCGAGATCCTACCCAAATTCCCAAGATCTATACCACCCATCAAACCCAATACCTATCTTTATGCAACTCAGGATGTACCTCCCAATTCTTCCCTCCATCCTTGCCCCCATCCCCATCTCCATCTCCCTTTTTATCCCCACCTCCACTTCCATCATCGTCATCCACATTCTCAATCTCCTCAACCTCCCTAACCTCCTCCGTAGCATACGCATCAATACTCAACATCCCCGGCGCAGTAACCTCCTCCCGCCCCAACATCCTCTTATGCCTCGCCCAATTATGCATCATCCAATGGTACACCTGATCGCCTGTCAATGCCAACGCGCCTAGCACCAGCAACAGGACAATTGCAATTGCAAAGCTCGATTTCCGCACCACGTGCTCGTCGCCGTAGCAGTAATCGCTGTTGTCGCTGGGGAAGTGGTTGCTGAAGTAGATTCCTGAGGACGAGGGGAGGAGGGTGCTGTTGAGGGCGAGTGCGTAGATTGTGCAGGGGCTGGTGAGGTTGGGGGAGAAGGAGTGGGAGAGACAGGTGTGGATGAGGGTTGTGCGGCAGTAGGATTGGCAGGAGAGGATGTCGGGGAGGTTGTAGGTTCCGAAAAGGGAGGCTGTTAGTTCGGGGGAGGCGTCGCCTTGGATGTGGCAGGTTGGGAGGGATTTGATGTTGGGGGTGTCTGGGGGAGGAGAGGATGTTTCGTTGCGGATTGTTAGACGGGTGTGGCGGTTAGGAGTTGGAGCTTCGTGGAATATATGAGGTAGGAATTGTGCTGGATTGGTGATGGTTTTAGCGCTTAATACGTCTCTTGCTATTCGCTGTGAAATCATGTTTTAGTATAACTCCATGTGTATAGTGATTAAGACATTGTCTAACATGAAGCCTTCTATTATTTCCATGACGAACATCTTTGTCTTGTAGAGTACGCTTTTCGTCAATATCTCTTGCAACTGGGTGTAGATGTTGCTAGATGAGATTAGTTCATTTAAAAGACAAACATGAGGGTCATCAAGCTTACATGATTCCCATTGCGCGTTGAATCTCTTCGACGGTTGTTTCGTGAAGCACTAGTCTTGAACAACTAAGTGAGCCATTGGGTCATTCTGGATTTCAATTTACCGCTTACGTTGATAGTTTGAGCACTTATGTCTAACGCAACACCATCGTCTCGTCTCGGCATAGCCTATCCCCATCATCAGCAACCCAATCCCCGAGTAAGTATAGAGAGGAACTCACAAGCCCCAAAGTAAAGCAAAAAATAGAAGCAAGAAAAAGGACAGTGAATCTCGCCATTCCGCGGGTTCTATCTCAGTCAGCTGGTTGATAGGCTTCAAAGCAAGACATACATACTAATCTCAAGCAACTTGAAGCTTTTTCTCTCTCTTGTCGCGCGAGCGACAGCCGTTGATGAGAATCGCAGGTGGTCGACCCTAATTGAAGAGTGTATCCAACATCAAAGATCCTCGAGGAAAATAGAATACCCCATGGTGTTTGCCTAGGATAAACAATGTGAATGGACTCAACTCAAAAGGTTCTCTGGAGATTAATCTGCCCATTCTGGCGTGACACGAGAGATAAGGCCGTAGCAAACAAAGGTAGATTAGTGAATATCTCATGATAAAGTTGTCACACTTGAAAACTCGCTTAGCGTAGACCTCGCAGTTGAAAGAAAGATGATGTTGATTTTACATGGTTTTCGAACTTGACTGACATGTATAGAGCGAGAAACTAAAGAGAAGTGTAAAGAAATAATTGAGTCTCTGTACTAGCCTGAGCGATTCTGACTGGAAAGGTGAATACCAGATCACAAACTTGCTCATTGGAAAACTCGCTTAATACAAAACTTATGATTAGCAAAGAAATATGATATTACATTCGGGTATCTGAATGACTGACATATATACAGCGAGTAAAAGCAACAGTTCGAGCGCAATCCATATTCGGTCTCCATGCTCGCTTGACAGATTCGAGCTTTATACACCTCTTGCTTCTCGCTTCGACATTTCCCTCTCTTCGACAATTCTGAACACAATACTTCGAAATGTTTAACAAAGTCATTCACATCTTTCCAAAAATAAACTCAATCTCAGCAACAATCATCGACTCCCCGCCGCCGCAGCCGCACTAGCAATCTTCGCAAGCGTAGCATGATCACCACCCAATCCCTCAAACCTCCTCTCCTCCCCCACCCTCAACCCCGGATCCCCATTCTCCACCACCACAAACCCATTCTCAGCTCTCCCCGTCGCCACCTGTCCCAACTCCCCTTCCCGAATCTCCTTCCACGCACACTTCGCATGCTTCTTCGTACACGCCGAGCACGCGGTCAGATTCTTCGTGCAATCGAAACCTAGACGGCGACAGCGGTCACAGGGCGGATAGATCGGGTCGCCGCGTGCGAGCTTTTCCATTTTGGCAGCCATGAGGAGTCGGTATTGGCCTTCTATGCCGTCGTCGGAGGAGGTAAGGGGGTGGGAGAGGCGGCGGCTTTCGGTGGTGGGGATGAAGATGGGTTGGGTGTTGGTGGTTTCGGTTGTGCCGCGGAGAGGTTTGGGACGGGGTTGGGAGTGGGTGGTTGACAGGTATTGCTCTAGGAGGCGTTGTTGAATTTTGGTGGAGTCGCCGTTGGTGAAGACTGGTGGTCTGGGTGTCATGTTTGGGTATGGCTGCGGTGAGAATGGTCGATTTTCTTGAAGTGGTTCTGGCATGACTTGAGGTTGTTGTTCTGCTGCTTTCCGACTTATGACTCCAGTTTTTCTGCCTTTGAGGTGGTAATTGAGTTGCCTTGCTTTACTCGCCACAGCATCAGCTTTCTTAATCAATATCGCCAGTCTGCCTTCCAGAATATTAAGAGTCGCCAACTCCGCAAGCTCATCCTCAGGTATCGGTTGCGTAGGTATAACTCTTTCCGGAGCACCAGACATAATCACCCTAAAATCATCCTCATAAATCTCAACTTCTACTCCTTTGACCCAAATACGACAGCTCATGACTCCAGGAGAGTATTCTCCCAACTTAAATTCCTGAGGACTAGCTCGAGCATACGTGACAATATCATGCCACCCAATACTCTGCTCCAAAGCCGCTGCAGGTTGAATAACTCTAATGGGACCATCAAACAATTTATTAAAAGACTTAAGAAGCAGAGGCCCGACCAGTTTAGCCCCTAGATTAGCTGCCAGACTTTCATGTCTGTTCAATACACCTATTCCAATTAGTCCCCATATCTAGACTCATTAATGAGAATGTACTCACCCTCATAACTATCAATCATCTCCAAGACATCCCCAAAAGTCTCCGCATCCCCCTCAATCAGGCCCAACTTCTGAGGCCTCGCTCTAACCAGATAATTAATTGGCGTGACCATTCCAGCTGGAGGCGGTGGGTGTCCCTGTCTCACTGCTGAAGGCTCATCGTTGATAGGACTTCGCTTGCGTTTGAGGCCCGGAGTTTCCTGGACCTGAGGGGACTCTAATCTCGCTGTGCTGGACTCCATTTCGAATCCGAGTATCCAATATATATAACCTGGGGATATGAGTGCTGTAAGTATATCAATCAGTCCTGCCTTTAAACTTTCCGCCCCGATGCAGAGGGAACCCGCTGACCTGTGATCCCGCAAAAACCTATCCCGTTGCGCCTTTCGTCCAGTGTCCAACTTAATATCACCTATCGCCAGACTCACAATAACCAAGAATCTCTCTCTCTCTATATCGTCGCCGTCTCGAAATCCCGCATCTCATCTCATCGACGACGTTGCGCGGAAAATCTAACCCTTCCCGCCGCGGGAGGTCCATGCTTCACACGTGACGTTGCTTCCTCCCTTGCAGCGGAAAGTCCCCACCAATTGCGGACGGGAGCTCCCAATTGAGCCTCACATCCCACCGCGAATATCGCAAACCCCACCACCCAGTCAACGCTGTCCAACAACGTCGATACTCGAATGCGCACTGATGGCCGATCGAGCTGGATATCAACGCGGTGGTCGCGGGGGAGGAGGACGAGGTGAACATAGAGGGGGACGTGGTGGGAGAGGTATGTCACGGCATATGGCTATGTTGGTCGTTTTGGATAGAAGGGAAGATGCTAATGGGAGTTGTAGGAGGACATGAAGGTAGAGGCGGACACAGTGGAGGCGAGAAACCAAAGAAGGAAAATATTCTTGATCTGGGAAAATATATGGATAAGCAGATCACGGTGAAGTTTACTGGAGGCAGAGAAGGTATGTGGTTCTACTCCCTTCATATCCAGTCGCTCAGGACACAACCTCTCCTCTTCTTCTATTCGCCTACTCTACCTTTCTCACTCCCTCCATATGCTAGACTATTTTGTCTAGTCACATCCCCGGCAATATAACTAACAACCCCCCAGTGATAGGAACCCTCAAAGGCTACGACGCCTTAATGAATCTTGTATTGGACGACGTATCAGAAACACTGCGCGACGATGAAGGAAACACAACTACAAGACCACTAGGATTAGTAGTCGCTCGAGGAACATTGTTGGTATTGGTTTCGCCGATGGATGGAAGCGAGGAGATTCCCAACCCGTTTGCGCAGGCCGAGGAGTGAACATTTTGATGAAGGAAAACTTTGAGGTGATGGAGAAGAGAAATATCAAAATGTTCCGACACCAGGATGACCACTATATGAAGTTGGTTGTCGCTCCATGTCCTGGAAAAATACGACGGACAATTTGGAATGGATACGAGTTACAAAGACATGGAAATGTCCAGGTCACCACAAGTCGCAGGAATTGTGCGTGCCGACAGATTTACAAAGGAAAGAGAGATAACATCACACTCGTTCCATAATTGCATTTGAAATTGTGAGCATCCAAAATACGGGAACGAAAACTTTGTGATATTGGTTTTTCATTGTTTTTGTTCGATTCTACTAGACTCGTGGACACTTTTCAACATGGAGTCAACTCGGCTTTTCAGCCAGTGGCTCCTCTAAAAGAAATCTCCTCCTCGGAGTCTATTACCCGCAACATACCGTCTCCTCGCCACGCGCCGTCAGTGGTATACCCATACCCCCAAAACGGTTCCTGACTCTCCTTATATGCTGATATCCCAAAGTATAACATATTCAAAACGCCGACCTAGCGACGCATCGACGGCTTCTGTAGCTCCGCCCAAGCAGCATTTACCTGCTTCTTAATTTCGTTGTACGACACAACAAAGATATTCTGATCGTCTCTCGCGGTCAGGGTAATCTTTTCCTGACTTCCAGCGTCTACCTTGTTGAGGCATGAAATAATGTGCCCCATATCTATTACGGGCTTCCCTTCTGCGTCGACTTGGTGAAAAAGGAAATCTCTAAACATTTTGATGACATAGCGGCCATCTTGCTCGCTCCATTGTGGATTTCCTTCATATTCCGGTCGTTCATTGATCGTACCTAGCTTCATCAAGAGCCTAGCAATGCGACCATTCTCAACTTCTCGGTTGAGCTCAGAGTAAAGGGTGTCATTCGCATGAAGACTGTTGTCAAATACATCTACAACGTGGGTAGATATACCACTCAGTAGTTCCCCAACAGTCTTAATCCCAGGAGTTTGAGCGGGCGTGAGGAGCCAGACTACAGTGTCTCGAAACTCCGCTGTATATGTCCGGCTCAGCTGATCAACAAACCCCAGGAGCGTAGGAGATGTCATGACAGCAAGGTTGTTGGTTGCGATGGAGAGAATCAACTTTCCAAAGTGGATGAAGTCTTCTTGTTGTAGCTCTGCTAATGGCCGTTGAGCATCGAATTTTACAACATCGAGAACAGCACAAGCGTTGAGACGAATGCGTCCTTTATCTGTGAGGATAACCTTGGATGGATCCATGCATCGAACTGCCAGGCTCGCGGCATGTACAGCTTTGATAGCTGAAGCGATCTGTACCACGTAGCTCCACAACACTGGCTCAGGAACGGCTTGGGAGACCCGATTTCCATATCGGTTGGTACTGGTGAAATGATGTTCCACCAAGGTCTTTGACAGCGGGTGATAATTAGTCACAAATATAAGAGAGCTGTCCCCAAAAGCTCGGGTAGTAAAGGCGTCAATGACTGACACTACACCTCCACAATTTACTCGCCTCCAGTCCTTCACGGATCGAATTGCTCGCTCGTTAGTCAAACGATAACCTTCCAGCCGTCTCAAAGTGTACATATGCCCGTTCTTAATCGAAGTCGCTTTGTACACCCAACTTGGGTAACTGAAAACGGCGGCACTCTTTCGATGGCTAGTATCGAGGGCGACCAAGGTGTGATAATTATCAAGAGTGGGAAGTTGAGAATCTAATACGTTAGCTTGTTACAATCAACCAGAAGATTGAGTGGACTCACTCGGCATGACCTGGAAGGTCGCTTCAGCTTTCTTCTGCAACTCCTCGCGCAGAGCCTCTGGCATGAAGAAATCGTGAGCATGTCTTTGGTAAGCAAGCAGGTCTTCTCTATGGGGCCCAATAGGAGCGTATAAATGATATTGAAGCTAAAGACATTAGCAAATAATGTTTTTCTTCTTACTTGAACTCACAGGTTGACCGGGTGCAATGAATGCTGTCTGTGACTGGATCCATGCTGCGGCGTTATTGCTAATGTTGGAAGTATCTTCCAGGTAAGGATTATATTGTGTGGTCGTTGGAACAGCTTGTGCAACCGCAGACATTTGAAAGGGGTCATATGAAAGATGATGGTCGGATGCAGTGCCATCTGTCTGAGGAACCTGACCCAAATTAGTGCCCAAAATCCTTGCATGTGTCTTTCAAATAGTTGTAGCTCACTGATTCAGCTGGCTCATAAGCTTGAGGTGTAAACTCTCGTATTTGGGCAGGATTGAACGCTGGAGCCTGCGGCTCTGGCTGCGTATTGGGCGTAGCTGTACCTATCGTCTGTTAGTCCTTACATCTAGGTTCCAATGAAGAGTAAGTACCGCTAGTGAGTCCTCGAGGTGTGAAAGGTGCGGCACTGGCGGCTTGCGAAGAGATGGTGGTTTTACCAGGGACTGGTAGGGTGGCAGGGGTGAATGATGGCGAGTCGACGTTTAATGTCTTCTTTCTGATGTGAAAGTCAGTGACGCCCACTGTCAATAGTCTCTTTTTGGCATTAGTCGCCGGAGTCCTTGGTGGCCTCGGCATCGCCTGGTCGTCCAGCAGGTCCAGAAATTCCACCTCGACGGCCCAGGAAGTCTCTCGGAGGTACAGGTACAGGGAATGCCTCTTCGATCCGCTTGACTTGGGCAGGTGTGATATCTCCCAACTGTTTGGCTAGCGACTTTTCCGTTTTGATTTTCTTCGCAATAGCCTTGACCAAAGACTCTGGAGTCTTGCGCTTTGGAGAGGCCTCCGCGGAAGTGTCCTTCTTGTTTTCTTTGTTGCCAGTCGACTTTCGCATTTTGTATCTTGGAGCTTGAGGAGGAGAGCCCGCTGAGTGGAAAATATGAAGGACATATATCCAGAGGTGGTGAATGGTTCGAGATGAGCAGACTGTTCCAAGCGCGGGGCAGACAAGCATATTCGTCTCAGATCCATCGCCCCTGCCATTTCCGTACCCAAACCCCCAAAGACCAAAAGCCGGGCAAGTATTATCCTTTCACATCGCTTCGAATTGAACTTTGACTGCGGAATCCAAGATCGACTTCGTAATTGATGCGCCGTCTCACGATCCAGATCAGACAGTTACAAATCCTCCGGCTGGATTCTAGCGCTTTATAATGAAATAGGAGACCACCAACTTACATTTCTACCTGAACAGCGTGTGTTTTGTTTGGATCATGATTGAAGGCACAGCCCTGATCCTCATAGCGACAGTGGCCATATATCAGCACGTTCCTGCACAGGGTGTCCTTTGCATTTTCTGGAATTATCGCGTCAGCGCCCAGGTTTCTCCAATACCTCCTTATATTCTCGTAGGATGCCAATGCAACGCACCTCGTCCTTTGGGTCGGGGCGAACTGGCAGGTTTCCGCAGCTCCGGAGAGTTGAACCTGGCGGTTGCCATGTCGAATGGAGTGCAATAGGATTCTTTGAACTATCTTCCGCTCCCCGATAACACTTTACGAGCCCTGAAAGATGTTAGACAAGCTGGCATGATGTTTGGAAGGAAATGTGCAAGTATAAACATGAAACGTGAAACATAAACTGGACAAAGACAAAGCGTGGGCTGTGAGGAAGGCTTACTCGTTCTTGATCCTGGCGAACATGTCTTAAAGATATTGTCACAGGATATAGAAGCACCACCCATCGAGTGATGACTGTGGTCGAATCCCAGGCGGACAAGAGGCCCAGTACTCTACAATTCCATTTTGGAGGCGGGTATACAGAAAAGCAAGGTGTTGTTGAGTGGTTGAGTAAATGGATGAAGATGAGATGCGGTTGGGTTACGCGGGGCCGACATCACCAAGCTGCGCTGCGCTGCGAACAAACTAGCGCCCGAAATAGAGCACCGCCGCACCCCTGCTATGAACGATCGGCCCTAGCTGGGCCGTGCTTGGGATTTTTCCACGTCGAGTTATGACGAAGGAATCGCATCGCGTCGACCGAACCGGACAATTTGGCCTCTAAGTGTTTTTGCAAATTCAGCTAACTCGACATATAAAACGCTCGTTATTCCCCCAGATTCCTTCCAAAAGTCTTTCCAATGTCTGCGTAAATCCCCAACTGTTTCCTGGAACAAACACAATCAAGACATGGCCACACCCGACTCAGATATCAGTGAGCTCACTGAGGCGCAACAGCTAGCTTTACAGCAATATACTTCAGTCACCGACCAAGATGTTCGGGCGGCGATACCACTTCTGCGGAGATCACAATGGAATGTCGAGGTAGGTTATGCGCAGGCAGGAGAGCGCAGATCATATGTACATATCTCATACTGATACATCTACAGATCGCAGTAGCTAAGTTCTTCGACGGAGAAGGTCCGGACCTGGTTGCAGAAGCTTTGGCAGCACAGAACGTACCTCCTCCACGAGCCCCAAGACAAGAGAACCTCCAGCAAAGTCTCCTACACGGTCAGGTCAATGCTTTGCGATCACAGAATCGACTAGATGCGGCACCACGAGTCGTTCCTCAACCCGAGAGTCAGGCCCTGCCACAGCCATCCTTGATACTCGCCATCATCTTCACACCATTCAAGTTATTGTATAAAATATTAGCAGTCCCATTTCGATTCTTCGCCTATCTATTCCCATTTCTGCGAATATTTCCTCGGAATCCAACGACCGGGACATTAAGAAGTGTTAACACAAGTGGACGGCGCGCATTATCTCCAGCAGATGCTGCGCAGAGAGTACAGAGAGAATTCACAGAAGAATATGGAGAAAACTCTCTCCCATGGACAAGTCAGGGCTACGCAACCTCCCTCGATCAAACCAAACGCGAATATGGTTTCCTACTCGTCATCCTCCTATCCCCCGAACACGACGACACCACCTCTTTCTGTCGAGAAGTGCTCATGAACGCAGAAGTCACATCCTTCCTAAACGATCCCACCAACACGATGAGAGTATGGATAGGAGACCTCCGCGACTCCGAAGCATACCAAGTCTCCACCGCCCTCAAATGCACCAAATTCCCCTTCTCAGCACTCATCTGCAATACACCCGAAATAAGCAGCACCTCCATCTCGGTCGTCTCCCGCCTGACTGGTCCGATGACCGCCTCCACCTATCTTTCCAAACTCCGCGCCGCCCACGCCGCCAGAGCCTCCCAACTCGAAACCGGCCGCGTAGCACACAACCTCCAAAACTCCGAACGCAACCTCCGCGCAGAGCAAGACCAGGCCTACGAACGCAGTCTGGCTCAAGATCGTGAACGAGCTCGTCAAAGACGAGAAGCTGAAGCTGCGGCGGCGGCTGCTGAGAAAGCTAGATTGGACGCTGAGCGTAACGCTACGCTCCTCGCTGAGAAAAGGAAGGCGTGGCGAAAATGGCGGGCGTCAAAAGTAAAACCCGAGCCAGGACTTGAGGAAAAGGAAATCGTGCGTATCGCGCTGAAACTGCCTGAAGCCGCGCGCGTGATGCGTAAATTCCGCGCCAGCGACGAAATTGAGGAGTTATATGCTTTTGTAGAGTGTTATGAGGATCTCCAGGCTGGAATTACGGAAGAGGTGGAGAAACCAGAGGGTTATGAACACGAATTCGGGTTTAGGATTGTGAGTACCCTGCCTAGGGTGGTTTATGATGTTAAGGGTGGTGGGACGATAGGCGAGAAGGTTGGGAGGAGTGGGAATTTGATTGTGGAGAGTATTTTTGAGGGAGAAGAGGAGGAGGGGGAGTAAGGGATTTGGATAATAAATGATATATATAAATTACACTTTTTCAAGTTTTTGTGTCTAGATGTGTTTGATGCGAGGTAAGATTCTTGTTTGGGCTGTAATTTGTCTTTTCGAGTAATTCGGGGGCCATCCACGTTACGCTTTACTACACAACAAACTTATCATCTAACCATCCGACCAACTGTTCTAAACACTCTTCCACGAACCAACTCTCTGAACCCTCAAACACAGCCTTATGTCAAAGACTATAGAACGTAACATAAATGAGCTGTCATCTTTCCTTTCTCTTGTGATCTTGCACTCTTCATGTACTTACTTGACGGGAGACAATCTATACCACTGAGATATTTGTATATGAAAAATTAGGTAACGCATACTTGAGGGGTTGTGTGAGGATTAGAGGAGTTGATATTTATAGGGAGGTGGTGAGGAGACTGCATGGTAGCGTTGTGTAATTGGATGATAACAAACTTTATAACTTTTGATCCGCCTTCTTTTAACTTTGCTGAAATTTTGGTAAGCGAATGAAGTAATTTCTAACGTGTAATTAGGCAGTATAGATAGTAAACTGTGTGTGTATTTAGATATAAAGTACTCGTCTTAAGAGGAGTAGAAATGAGTTATCGAGAATGTTATATTAGAATATATATTTAATTAAGCGAGGAATAGGAAGATAATAAAGGCTGAAATGGCAAACAACTTGTAGTTTACTCGTGGAGTTTAGTATAGCGGTTATATTATTTAGAAGTAAATTGCAAGGTGAGAATTAGATGGGTTTGAATGTAAATTTTCGTGTGAGATGAGAAGGATTTAGTCATGTAGAGTGTGGTCAAGGAGGATGGGGATACGGGATGAGTTGTAGGTTTAGATGATAAGTGATTTAAATTACTGGCAGAAGTTGGAGGTCTCATGTGGATTTGTGATAGTCATAAGTGAAAAGTGAGTATGCCATTTAGCATGTATAACTCCGCCTATTTACAATATAACCTACCCATTTTTTTACGGTCGACCATCTACCTCCCTCATAGTTCACTATATACTTCCCTCACAATCCACTCATCAACCGACACTTCCTCCCATAGCTTATCCTCAAACCCTCCTCCCGCCAAACCCAAAAACCTTAGCAACATTCCCCACCCCCAAACCAACACGTTCTTCCACTATCCCACCAGTATCAATCCCTCCTTCTACTCCCCCATCTGCCCTCCCCATCTCCCCAAAAGCCCCCTCAAACCATCCACCATCTGCCCGAACAACAACCGGAACCCACATCTCCTCTCTCCCACCAAACCCCCGTCCACCTCCCCCACCCCCCAAATCCGGACACTCATCCCTCAAAACCTCACACACAAACGCGTACTTCACGTCTCTATCCTCCACGCCCTCCCCTCCATACAACACCTCCGCATCCGCCCTCCCCCTCGGCAGTCCATGCACCAAAACATGCAAATCGACAAACTGCTCAAACACCTGTCCCAACCCAGGTTTCACGGTGGCACTCATAAACACACTCCTATTAGCTCCCTGTATCGCTGGATTCGCAGCATAAAAAGTAGATATCGCAGTTGTAGTATTCCCCAGCACAACAAGCACATTCTGCGTATGCGCTAGACTATGCAGGGTATTCGCGAGCGAGGTGATCAGCGCGTGAGCGTCTGGTTTTGCAGCTGTGGCGAGTAAAGAGGAGAGAAGAGGCGTGATGGGGTGGATAAGGAGGAGTTGTGTGGTGGTGGGGAGTTCGGAGAGGATTTCCCATATGCCTTTGATGTCGAAGACGCGGGTTATGCTTATGGTTTCGAGGGCTTTGGTGAGGTTGGTGGTGATTTCTTTGGGGTTGGGTGGTTTGTGGGTTGAGGTGAGGGTTTGGGAGAGGCGGGATTTTAAGACGTGGAGGAGCGTGGTGAGCGGGAATGTGCCGGTTGTGTCGAGGATTTGGATTATAGGTTCAGCAGCGTCTGAGGTGGTGAGGTGAGACAGGAGGAGAGAGGTTAGGAGGGAGAGGGAGAGCTGGAGGTGTTAGATTTTGGGTTTTGTTGAGTTGAGCTGAGATGAATAGAGGAGTTAAAAATGGGAGAGATGATGCAAATTCATATCCTCCTGTAATCTGTCAAAATACAATGTGAAATCTTAACTCACCAAAACACCCTCCCCTTCCCTCCCTTCAGCACTGACGCCCAATACGATTCCTCTCTCAACACCTCTCCCGTGGTTTCTATCATCTCTTGTCTTATTTCCTCCATCTCCCTCATCTCCTCTCATGCTCCCCGTCTCTCCACCTCCTCCCACCCCCCCATCAAACAACCCATCCAACAACCCACATCCAGTACTAACCCTCTCACCCCCAAACCTTTCCCGTTGCTTCAATTCAAGCTCCAAGAGCAGGTCTGCTGTGATTGGTATAGCAGGCTGAGGTTCTGATTCCGGTTGTGGTGTATCATCTTGAGGGCGAGGCTCAGTGGTGGTAGGTTGATCGAGGGTGGGTGGATCGATAGCAGGTTGATCAGCAATTGCCGGTGGCGTGGACATATTTACTTTAAAGAGGTTACACATATGTACTGAGCGAGTGAGGGGGGTGGGACCTTTGGATTTATATTTCCATTATTTAGACGAGCGAAAATAGATGAGATGAGGTAGATGATGAAGGAGACGAGATGAGCCTATGGATGCGTGTATGTGGATGAGATGAGATAACTCAGCGAGGTGGGTTATGAGTGAAGTATGTGACGATGTCGCAACCAAGCTATAAAATCATAAGGCTCGATGTCAATTTCGAAATCGGTGAAATAAACTTAGGACGAAAAGAGGCTGTGGTATCGAGTAAACAACGAGATGGCAGACCCTTGATAAAGAGGCTTATGTCTCTTACAGATAGGCTTATGAAGTACAATCATTCATCTCATCTCAGCCAAGTCCATTACTCAGTTAATCTGTCGAGGTAAATACAAACTCCTGTGTTCGTTGCTGAAATATTCTGGGATGCGCAGCAGGATGAGATGAGAATGTTACATAGACAAAATAAAACCAACCAACCTTTTCACAACTTATATTCCCATCAAGAACCTCAAATCGCGCTCTCCAATCCTCAACTCATTCCCGCCGTCTCTACCAGGAAAATAAATATTTTCAGCCAGAAGTCCGGGCAGCTCGTGGGCTTCAATTACGTCATCCTTGCGTCTCAAGTTCTTGACACTACCGTATTTAGGCGCCTAGTCTACAGACAGTGTGTGTAATTGATTGAGAAAGTGACAAAGAGGTTTGTGATAAAAGGGTTGTTATTTATGGAGATGAGGAAACACATGTGCGATACAAAGAAAGTATCAATTCTACTGGTAATATATCACCCGTTTGCATCTCTGAAAATTCACGCCGAGTCACGGTTCCCTAGCAGGTTGAAATAATCAAGTCGCCCAAGATCCATCAAGTTTCAATTTATAGAATCTCATCTGTATACTCCCTAACTACAGTTATCGCCCAACCTCTCATCTTCGCATCTTCCAATCATTCCATGTCTCGTCTTCGTCTACCTCCGTTTCATTTATCCAAGGGAGCCCTCTTGTATCTGCCTTCCCCTCCCTCAATCCACTTCACAGAAAAAGTCACAAGCGATGAAACCCCGAGGTGGAATGCCGTGTCTAGCAAAGCCTGACCCTTCGATGATTTTGATCCTCAAGAAAACGAAACATGAAAACTCCTCCCATGAGAAAAGGGAAATTGGTCTAGGAAAAAGTCTCAATTAGAGAGTAATGTGTAGTGAGAAAAACAACTTCGTCTTGTGCATTTATAATACCCTATCCAACACAACAACACGAATGGCGCATTATTGCATGACCATTATTCGCAGGAAAATTGATTCCGTAAAACTCCACGTGAACGCAATGGCTGCACGGCCTAACAGACAACGTGTGGATGAACTCGATCCTTATATGTACTCGCAGGCGGCGCAAATCTTTCAAGATTCAGTTGCTTGACCCATTGGTTTTGGCTTTCTTGGTCCACCCTTCAAGGATTTCACCCGCGACAGAAACCCGCCTCCACCTCCAGACTTTGGTTCTTGCTCTTCTATGGTACCATCACTAGTAACACGTCTCTCCAATCCAGCGAAACCACGACGAGGGCTGCTTGGGGATCGCAGTCTGCCACCTCCTTTGACTGGCTCGACGAATGTGACGCTTTCTTTCTTCAGGTCTTTGTCATCACCAGCCGAGAACTCATTGAAGAACGGGTTTGACTCGTGAAGCTTGGTTCCTCCCGGGGTCATGACATTATCTGGAGATCTGGGTGAGTAGACTCCATTGGGACTTGTAATTCGTCCAGAAGGTCCATAGTCTCGTCGTGGTCCATTGTTAATTCCCTTGATTCTCTGGGCAAGAGACTTCTTTCGTCCCAACCCGTTCTCCACAGTACCGTTAGACTCGCTTTCTCGTCGTTGCATGGCAGCTCGTGATGCTGGGGCGCCTTCCAAGAAAGTAGAACTTCCTAGGCCGAGGGTCTCTTCTCCATGGATAGGCTCGACTTTGCTAGTGGCGCTGAGTACAGTTCCGTCCTTGGGTCGTGGGTTTGCGAATCCGTTCTGCCCAGTACTATAATCCCGGAAGGCCTCGTCGTCATTGTTACCCAAGAAGGTTGCATGATCCGGTCTCTTGTTCAATGGACCGGAACCACCCAATGTGTTATTGATTGAGCCCTCAGGAAATGCTTGCATTGGAGCTCTTCGGCTTCCTTGTCGGTTACGGTGAGGGTTGCATGCGTCGAATGGACCATCGTGATGGAACACTGGATCGGATTAGCGGGCAAACATGACGGTCATGTGTCAACTTACATCCAGTGCCATATATACTTGTAACATCCAGTTTGTCAATGATATCCAGGTTTCGTGGCTTCTTGGTTGTAATCTTGCTTGTAGATTCCTTACCATCACGTTCCCTATGACGACGCTCTCTGCGTCTTCTCTCGGCTCTCCTCTTCTCCTCCTCACTCTCGATCTTCTTAGACATAACAGAAGAATCTGAATTTCTTCTCACCCGTCGTGTTTTGTCTGGATCTGCAAAAATATCCAATTCTTCCTTTGGACGTGAGCGGCTAGACTGTCCTGGTTTACGGGCGCGAAGTGCCTCTTCTTGAGATCGGGTCGGTCGATGACCTGGTGGCCCTCGGGGAGGTGGAATATTTTCACCGCGGGATCTGGAAGCAGAGTGTGGGTGATAAGGTGGTGGTCTATCACTCGTCTGGGCTCGCACAGGAGGTGGTCGCATTGCTGTTTTGGGTTTGCTAGCGGGTTCGTCACTCAAAGTAAGATTGTCCTGTCGATCTCAATTAGCATGGTTGCATTGCACCTCATCGATGCGAAAACCTTGGTTTCATGAATGACGTACGAATAATTCAGCAGCATTTCCTGTCAATCTGGGCTTGGGCGCCGAATCCATATTGGTAGCCATCTTATCAGGTGAGCCGATGGCGGGCGGTATGATGTTGGTAGTGGAAGCGTCGAGAAAAGGATTTCGTGAGACAGGTCGTGGTGGGGGGTCAAAGGGGGAATGTGGTTGTGATCCGGCCGATGACGGTGACGCAGCTCGATTGCGAAAGGGGTTGTTGGAGGAGAGATTGAGCTGGGAGGGCCGTTTATCTATATCTGTTTTTGCAAACCGGATCTGGTCAGCCTGTGGACTTCATGCAAGTCCCCCCTATCGGGAGAGTTTATGACAGTGGTTTCGCTCAGGTCTGAAACGGAGCGATGAACAACATGATACGCCCTCGTTCCTCCAAGTGGAGCAGGTATATGTGGTGTTGATGAATTGGAGTGTTGTACCCAGCCGATTTACCAGGACTGATTCTTGGAAAGGGGAAACTAACCTGAGTGGCCTGGTTGGATCAGCGACATGGTGGCGAGGATGCGATGTTCCTAGGATTAATTCCTGTTGGCGTAACCGTTCTTCGAGGTGCAAGATGGATTCCAGGGAGTGCAGCGTGCAAGATGGGTTGATTAAGACGAGCGCAGGTGGACTCTGCGAGGGAGCGTATGTCTTAGAAAGCAGACGATTCGTGGCAGACGCAGCGAGCTGGTTGGTATTGAAGCTGGGGATGAAGAGGGTGGTGGTGGTGGCAGCAGGTGGTGGATGAAGATGCTCGAGCGAGAGTGGAAGAGTTGGCTTTGCTTTATGATGTCCGTGTGCCAGGTTAGCGGTCGTCTGGGCTGAAAAGGGGACGGATGAGGGTCGGCTGGCGAGGTCAAGCTCCCTGAGGCCAATAAAGATTTAGCGACCGAGGCCTATAAGTTTTGTCTTGGCAGGTCAGGAACACGAACTGGAAAGCTTCACGCTCGAGCCGGACTGGAGCGATTGTTGGTGCTAAAAGTTCGGGTTTATGATGTGGAATTTGCGGTTCCTTCTTGCTCCAATTATGGTATAATTTTGTTGTTATACTCGCTCTTTTCAATGGTTTCTCAGGGTTGTCGCCACTGTTTAAGGTATCTGAGTGCCGGCTCTGAATTCCCCGATTGACGAGCCGTCCAAGTTGATGGCCGCGGTAACCCTGACGAGGAGGTTGGTGGTTGGCTTAGTGTATGATCTTGCTCGACTTAGATGAAGCTTTGCTGGTTGCGGAAAGGCGGTGTCTGGAGAGTGGATGTGCTTCGACTCTAGAATACGAGTAGCGGGGCGTGGAAGAGTTCGCAGATACTGGAAAGGAGATATCTGGAGAGTGGATGTCCTTCAGTCTGGCAAAAGTGCTGGAATACGAGCAGCGGGCCTTCGAAGGGGTTGAAAGCGTGAATTGAGTTTCCTCACCAAGGGAAGAAGTTCGCAGATTCTGAAAAAGGAGAATATCTTCAGGAAGCTCGAGCTAGGGCTAGAGACGGCCGATCGAATCCTCTGAGAGCGTTGGGGAATCTCGACGTGACGGTGTAACGAGGAAGGACGGCTGTGGTTCCGGCGCAACAGGTGTACGAGTATCCAAGTAACAAGAATATGTTTCTGCGATGCCGCAAGTAGAGTCTGCTGGTTCGTAGGGAGTGAATAAAACGATCGGGAGCATGGACGACTATAGGTGCAATCGGAGCGGATGTCGAGTGTCGGTAGAAGTCTGCTCGACTGCGGTCTGCGAAGCTGGACAGAGAGAACAGAATAAAGGCCGGAGGATCGAGTCAAGACAGACAGATACAGAGCGAGAAAGAGAGAAGAGTTGTTTGGTCCAGCAAATATACGAGTTGGTGATTACAAAGTCATGGTACGGAATGCACTCCCTTCGCCGTGCCGGAGAAGAAAGGAGGGGTCATAGGATCAAAAAGCTCCCGCCTTTCCATCTTCAGAGAAATCCGTCCGCCACGCCTACTGCAGGACCCTTAAACGAGGCAAGAGGCAGGAGGCAGGAGGCAGACAGGGCAGGGAAGCGCAACCTAAAATTATGGGGAACCTTGTAAGAACTTTCTCTCAAAATATACGGCCAGTCACAATTGTATCAAAGGTAAAATATGTAAATTATCAGTCTTTAATTTATGTATGTTATTATATTGTTAGCAAGTTTACTATCCTCGACCATCATCTCATCTCACAACTCGCTCCAAGTATCTCAATTCTCAACATCATATCAATACGGGCGATGCCGCAAACTGAACCCCTCACTCCTCAACAGCACTTCCATGTCCATAAAAATCCTCCCTCAAACCAAGCAATTCCTTCCTCCCATAATACTCATCAGGCATGCCAGGAACCTTCTTCAAAGTGTGATTGATCCGTGCCCTCTCTTTAGCCAGCCTGTGAGGTCGACCCGTCACCCTTAACTGCTCATCAACAACGAGCTGCACAGCGTTCGGGTCCTCGTCGCCAAGAGGAACCTGATAGTCAAAGGTAATCACATAGCTCGTAAACACAAGTTCTTCATCGCCATTCAACATTACATCTTCCACCGTGGGGATAGGACGCCGTTGCCGGTCTGCGATGTAGCAGGCATGGCGGACGATCTTACGCAGTGATTTGGGCGAGATGCGCTCAAAGAGGTACTCGTAGATTTGACGAGCCATCTCTATACCTGCCGGGTTCTCTGTATACTCGACACAATCATTAGGCTGCAAAGGAAGCTCCCCAGAATAGAATTTTGGTAGGGTTTCCATGGATGTCACAATAGATATGCGCACAGGTTTGTTGATTTCGATGCCGGCGTGGACACTCTCAACAAAATCCATATTGAATGTGAAGGCGGCACTTTATTTCACGAGTCAGTGAAGTAGATATGGTAACATTCATACATGTCCATTCTCGTCTCCCGTCCATCCTATGGATGCACCTCTGCCGTCTGCGCATCGCAACTGAGAGAAATGAACTCAAGTTCTCGACTCACAAGCGTTAAATTTAATGACAGGCTTGGTAGGCAAGAAGAAAATGATTGCTTGGTTTTATAGCGTCAGAAGATTGACAGCCACTTCTCGAATCTTTTCAGGGGACAGTCTTCTAGCAAGTGGTGCAAAGTAACAATATCGAGAATTTAGAAACGATGACAAAATGAAGAAAGAAGTAAGATGCAATAGACGAGGCTGATTCAGTTTGGCTGGCAGTTGCCTAATGCCAATCAGCAAACCGAAATGTGAGTGTTCCAACAACGCTAGCCATCAACTCAGGGAAACCACCGGATTACCCCTCGACGAGAACGACGATGCATGTTGTGGGGAAAAGTTTATACTTCTCCAACAAAATAATCCACTTTCCGTGCAAGACAGACTCGTTTAGAAAATTCTAGGATGTAGAAATCGTGACAATAACAACCTCCAACCTAGCGGGTTACCCATAAAAGCAGGCCCGTTCATGAAGTATGCTTCTCCCAAATCCTGTTGACTGGGAAAGTCTGATCGCGGATGTTCAACGATAGAAGCTATACACATTGTAGATTTGTCGTCATAGGAATAGCAGCGAGATGGCCTGTAAATTTGTTAGCAAACCAATTCGTATCTAGCAACGGAGGTTTGTTACCGGACCCAACCTCCTAAATTATCTGATATCTCGTATCTAAGCTCTTTCACAGAAAATCCACTCTCACGCATACGGAGAAACAAATTACCCAAGTGACGGCGAATATGCTTATTAAGAAGGAGATTCTTCCGAACAGGTTAGACACGAAGCTGGAATACAAGCGGTGAGACTTCTTCTGCAGTAGCAGTGCAGCACACTCATCAAGTCAGTGTTGAAAGAGGCAATGGACTACCGCAACGCGTTTCATCATGTACGCTTTTAGCAAGCCAGTCGAATATCTTCTCCGGTCACGCTGGTAGATTCGACAGAGACATAAAGTTGCAGTGTGCAAAGCATGAGGTGATGGGAACCGAGATATTACCCCTGAACATTTGGTGCCAAGCAACGATCGACGTGATCTTCAGCCTTGCCCTCGGCGTTCCAGCCTTGACTTTGGAGGCTTCAAGATTTACAAAGAACTACCAAATCACCACCAACACACTCCTGCAATCATCTACCATTACACAATCATACTTTGTACCACGTAAAACTAGCAACAAGATTTTGCCATGACATCAAATCCCCCACCAGACACCACAATGACATCCCCTCCCCCCATCCCCCCCGAGCCCAAATTCGGAGGCTTCACGCGATTCGAAATCGAACTCGAAGTACGTTGCCCGTCTCCCCCCTCTTATCCATCTAACACCCTCCTTCTAGTTCGTCCAATCCCTCGCTTCACCAACCTACCTCAACCATCTCGCCTCGCAGAAATACCTCGAAGAACCGGCCTTCGTCGCATATCTCAAGTATCTACAATACTGGACACAGCCTCCGTATCTGAAGTACCTGATGTATCCGGGGCCGACGCTGAAGCATCTGGAGTTGTTGCAGCAGGAGAGGTTTAGGAGGGAGATTATTGATCCGGGCGTGATGATGGCGTTGATGACGGAGGGGAGTAAAGCTGCTATGGAGTGGCCTGGGAGCTGATATGCTGAGAGGGATTTGGCGGAATGATGCTTGGAAGGAGCTGAGCTTGGGATAGGGAATACCCGGCGTTTATGGCGTTCAAAAGGAAAAGGATTTGAATTGGGGTTGAACTCAGACCTTGATATTGATATGAGTTATGTGGTGTAGAAGTATCGAGCTTCTATTCTCTCTAGCAGAGCATCATGACCACCCGGAACTCCTGGCTTAATGCAACAATATCACGACTTTTCCCGCCCATATGATAACTCCAATCCATAAAATTACGCCTGTCACCTAGTATAACCTTAATCCCTCCATTCCTTCCCACAAGTGATACACTGTCCAAGAATTAGTCACTCCTCCAACCACCACCCACCATCCATAACTCCTCGCTCACCTTATAAAAATTCGTCATCGGCTCATCCGCACTCCTTATCTGCACCGAGTAAAACATAGCCTTCATCCCATTACACTCGTCCTTCGCACACTGGACCTCGCATTTCGGCGCGTTATCCCAGGCCTTTGGGCCGCCAAAGAAATCGTCCTGATCGACGTGCTTAAAGACCTTGCGTTCGTAGTAGCGTTTCTTAATGATGTAGTGATAGGGACAGGTGCGACATTCCATGCGGTTGGTGTTGACTTCGTCGGGGTCGGTGGTTGCGGTCGAGGGAGTGGTGGAGATTGTGAGGAGGTTTGAACAGGTGGGACAGACTGGGAGGTTAGATGGGTTTCGTTTGCAAAAATTTGGATATGAAGAACGAGTGAGTGTACTTACATAGTAAAGGCATCTTGAGAGTCTGTTGTGAACGAAATGTTCGAATTCGTTGTGTAGCTATCTAAATTGTCGCATCCTATGTCTCTGTCGTCGCTCGACCAAAAAATATAGCCTCATCGGCGAATTATGCCCCGCATGGAGCGCTAAACCGTCATTGGTCAGGCCCCTTTCGAAGGCTGAAGCGCCGCCCGGGCTGCCGACCCAGAGATCAAACATTAGAGCGCCTCGTCACCTTGTGAATCCCACGACTCCTGACATACTTATGACAATTTTCCATCTTGATCTTCACAAACTTCCTCAAAGTTCTCGCTAGGAAATCTTTAAGACCTCTTTGTCTCTAAACGCCACTCTAGATATCGCTGAAGAATTGGTGGGTTTTGGATTACCCCTCCATTTGTTTGGCATGGTATTCTGATGCTGATATTTGGTCTTTAGTTGCGGCAAGGGAACTGCTGTTCGAAACGACATTTGTGAGATCGCAGAGACCATCACTTTACGGAGGAAGGCACGATATGGCAGACCCTCGAGACAATGGCAAAGAGGAGAATGAAAGCACCGAGGTACGCGTACACAATTTTCGATGGCGAAATTACCATTTCGATTTGGGACTAGAACTACGAAGAACTACTTAGCTATACTTTAGCATATGGTTACGGGTATGAATGTATCATTTAGCTAAAAAATAGCATTCAGGGCGCTTCTCCATCCGAACAATTAATAGAAGCATGTCGACGAGACAATAAAGAACTTCTCGACGAGATAATAGCCAACGCTGGCAGTGAAGAAGCAGTCGCCAAATTACTGAATGAAACTAAAACGGTGCTTGGAAACTTCGCCTACCATGAGGCTGCTTTGAATGGAAGCTGTACGGTACTCATTTCCCTCTATTAGAGTAGGCACTAATAATAGTATAGACGAAATCATAGACACATTACTTGACCAAGACGGATTCGAATGCGATCCCATATCCCTCCGAGAAGGCGACACACCCCTCCACTCCGCCGTCCGTTTCATCAACAAACTCCCTCACCCACTATCATCATCTAACATGCAAGTCGCAACCGCCCTCCTCGACATGATGACCCAAGCCGGTTCGAATCCCCGCGTGCGGAACAAAGGCGGACTGACACCAGTCCAACTATGCGACCCGATCGATACAGAACTCAAAGAACTTCTCAACAATGCGCTGGATATCGACTTAAATAACGGAGATTTTATTGTTGATCAGGGCGATATTGCGAGTGGTGGGGAAGACGATGCGGGGAGCGCGAGTGATAGTGATTTTGATCCGGAGGAATATCAGCGGGAGAAGGCGAGGAGGGAGCAGGGGAAGGTTAGGAATGGTGCGCCATTTTGAGGATGGGGGTCGAAGCATGAATTAAGTTACCGTATGAGACAGGCGCCGCTTTCTACTGCATCACACGGATCCGGTGAGAAAGGAGCAAAATATCGAGATTTGGGGGAATTCTGGTGCATAGCGTAAGGATGGTGTATTTCAGAAACTCAAATAAAGTGGAGAGGAGTGGTCTATTTACGAATAGAGGCACAGATGAGAGGATACTTGGGTTTGGGACGCGTACTTGGGTTGTGTATTTAGGTAGCATTGTAACGGGGTGATAGACTGCGAAGTATGGATTGAAACATAAGAAACTTGACGTAAACCTATCAGACATTGTCTAAAATAATAGCCTGCGCAGGCCAATTTGGCAACTGATATTTTATTAGCTGTTCATACACAATTTTCTCATGGCCTACAGCCTAAAACTCAAAGAACATGTTTATGATATTTACTCTCCGATATTCGATTGCGGCCTTAATTTATTTACTAATGATGTTCTGGGTGCGTAGAAGTTAGATACTGGCGTTCTGGCAGAGAACTTCAAGTAAGGTATCTATCTGGCTTACAGCACTTAACTGCTAGATTTATCTCTCCTGATTCTTCAAAAATCTAACGCCAAATAGATGAGATTGTTAAATCATAATTCAGTATCCCCTTAAACAAGGTATTAAGTTATTTGTACTTCTCTACCTAGATTGTCTTAGATGTTTTGTGTACGTGTAGTAGCTACATCTCCTCACATATTTCCCGCTTTTGCACAACTACTGCGTCTTTTGACTCACTCATCCAAAAACCGTACTGGTGTTACGAGAACAACTAACTTTTAACTTCTCCCCTTATACTTACAGATACACTTCTTATACATACCCTCATTCTACATCCATCAACCTTCTCCTCCCGTGTTCCACTCCTCGCATCTAATCTTCTTTCAGCAAGACTTTACACTCAAAAAAGAGATGAATAATGTACTATAGCGAACATCCCCATACCTATCCTTATGCGAGGACTTATAACCATTCCATCTCTTTAATCCTTACTAAACTATGTTTCATGCACGAGAACACCACCCCTTTCCCTCATTCTCAAGAGCGTGAGTATCAAAAGTACATTACTTTTATATCTTCCAAACACCTCCTCGCAGACAAGTTTCTGTAATCAGCCCCTTCGAGCTTCTTTACTTCTTACTTCTATCCCACCCTCAAATTTTCTACCCTGGGAAAGATCTGTTTTTATGTTATCTAGTGTATATTCCTATCCGTGTCTTTAAACTAAACCCAAGTATTTCATATATCCTAGAACAATACTTTATCCCTCATTCTCGTTTGGTTCCTGGATACACTCCATTTTTCTTCCCATCCCTCCCTCCCACTCGCAACAATCTTACATTCTACTCCCCTATCCACACTTCCCTGTCCCCAGCTCCTACCTTTCATGCCGACAAACAGCAGTCTCGGCGGTTTTCCCCATAGTATACGGCCGGGATTTCGTGTTATATTCGACCTGATCTAGCGAAGAAAGAGTTCTTGAATTAGGCGTTGTGTATCCAAGTGCACATCCTGTAAGAACACGTTTATATGTAAATCTTGTGTGGTGGTTAGTAAGCAGACCGCTGAGAGGAGGAAGGAGGAGTATTGGTAGGGAGTGGTAGGGTGAGAATGGGATGGATTCGTGATAGGGTTTTGGAGAAGGGGAGGGGGTTGCGAGTTGAGATGAGGTATTGGTAAGGGTATGTTATGTTGTTGGATAGGGGGGTTGGGCGAGACGTGTGAGCTTAGAAGATTGCTTTGGATGAGAAGATGTTTTTATGGAGTAGAAAATGATATTTTTGTTTTATGTTGTATAAGGTAGTTAAGATATGAAGAAAATCAACAACATATGTACGTCTAACAAGTAAACTTTCGAGGAAGACTATTAGGGAAGGGTGAGGCAAACGAGTTAATGAAAGGGAATACTAGGGTGTGGAAGGAGGATGGGATGGATTTATAGGTAATTTTTTTTGTTTTTGAGAATGGCAAGGGAGTTCCACGTAGAGTAAGGAGGTAGCCGAAAGGGAAATATTGTTAGATAGGGGGTCTAAGCGAGATGTGTAAGTTTTTGAGAATTTCCCTCTAAATAGGTGAGGTTATTTATAGAGTGTTCAAATTTGTTTGTTTAAGTTATATAGGGTGTCTAGGGTATTAACGATTCAACACAGATAATAGTTCGATATGCAAACCACCGATAGAGAGCTATCAAATTCCCAAAAGACCATTTCATCACACACCAATCCATATACCTAAATTACATTAATAAAACACTTTCCAGCTCTTCGCCGAAAACTTCCTTTCCAATTCCCTCGGTGAAGTAGCCTGCAAATTCCACCCATCCAATTCCTCTCCGCTCACCTTATCCTCCCTCATCTTCTCTCTTTTCCTGAAAACCCCCCTTCCAATCCTCTAGAAAAGCGACTTCTGTCCCATCCCCAAACACACACTCTCAATCTGCACCGTCTGCCCCAGAATCTTCGTCGACTCATTATCAACCAAAGAGACCCGCAACATATCATCTCCCCAAACAACATCACAAGTCGTACACCCAGCCTCATGACTCTTCCAAAGCTCAAGTAATTCCAGAACTGTTTGCCTGAAATTCAGAATTTCAGTGACGTGACAGCAAACACCGAATTCTGCGCCGGCGAAAGACCAAGGCCGAACAACACTCAAAAAAATACCCATCTCCAACCCGACACGAGCACGCAGCGACGTGATCCGCCTGACTGTTCGGAAAACACACAACCTTCATTTTCCGATTCCAGTACTGACTCGGGAACACATGTTCAATCTCCCAGTTGGTGCGGATGATATACCGATCCCTACTCAGATGCCAGAAATAATGCGTGTACGTCGGGGTATCTCCAGAACGACTCATATGAATCGTCTTGAGAGCCGCACGCTCGACGTGTTTGAACGGCGCCACGAACGCGGTGCCGAACACCCAGAACGAGTCTTCGAATTTTTTTTCTGGCGGACACGTAGGGTTTCGCGCTCGCGGCCGCCTTCGATGAGGGTCACGGCGATGAGTCCGCGCGCGTCGTCTTCGAAGATGCAGGCGAGTGCGCAGGCGAGGACGCCTGGGGCGGGAGACCAGACAGGAAGGGTCATGCTGAGACCGATGTTGGAGATGGCGTAGGGAGAGGCGGAGAAGTCGTAGATGCCGTTGTAGAGGAGGATGCGGCGGGTGGAGGAGAAGTGGTGGGGGTGAGGGGCGAGGAAGACGCCGGCGCTGAAGCGACGGTCCCAGAGGAAGATGCTGTGGTCGGCGGAGACTTTGATGATTTCTTCTTGGAGGCGTATGAAGGCGTTGGCGCCTTCCCCGTAGAGGAGGGGCATGTTGACGTTGAAGATGCCGAGGAGACAGTAGGCTATATCTTCTATGCGGGTGGTTTCGCGGGTAAGAAGCCCAGGA